AAAGCTTGAGCCCACTTCCCCACTTTGCTAAATTCCACATGAAATCTCTCCCAAATCAGCCCAGATGTGCAAGTCATTTACAATTTACTGCAGGGAAAAAATGTCCGGGTCGTATGTTGCCCCAAAATCAAACAAAAGAAATTAGAAATAATCATTTTCATAGAAAATGAAAACTATTAATAAGCCCATAAAGATTTTTTTGCATTGCCAATTTTTTTTCATGACAGTTAAAAGCATTAAAACCCTCTTCCCCTGTTGTCAGTAGCCTACCTTTCTCATTACTGTACTGCAAATGAGATTTTATGAATTTCTTCCCTGGAACGCAAAAAGAGAACATTTTGAATAATACACAGTTGCAGTGATGTATACTCGAGTTATGGTGCACATTTTAGGACACTTTTATTGTGTTCTTTTGCATCCTTTGTGGACTTAACAGTGCCGGTCGCCATTTATTGTAATTTTATCAAATATTCTTCTAATTTTCTCTTTTTGTGCCCCACAGAAGAAGAGTATTCCCTTAATTGTCATGAAAAAAATGACACAATAAAAAAAAATAAAAAAAAAGTATGGTCCCAAAATAGGTTTCATTCATGTATGTATGTTTTTTTTAATCATTTTATTTTTATTTTATTTATTTTTTTATAATTTGATTTGGGGGTGAAATATAGCCCGGAAATTTCTTCATGAGAATCAGAAAGATTTTATTTAAATGAGATTCGATTAATTTAAGACAATACCAAGTTCAGATTTAAATGTTTAGTTATAGGTGTTCTGCATATTGTAAACCACCTGTGCTTGCTTACCATTGCGTTCAGCCCATTGTCTGTAAAATAAAATATGGTTGATGTGTCTCCACTTCCTTCCACTCTAGAAAAATAAAGCCAAAATATCCCAGAAATGGCTGCTGACATTGTGCGCCGATGATGTCATTTGGAGCCAGAGTAGCTGTCAATCATAATGTTATGCCCCTTTTTGTAGCATCAAATAACTAACTAAAACCAAACTTGAAAACTAAAACCAAAATGAATGCATGAACATGAGTCAGGATGATAAGAACAACTTAAAATGACAGAAACCGTCTTTGGAAAAAAGTGCTGGATATTTTAATTTTGACTCGCGTTCCATTTGATTACGTGGAGAGGGCGGGGTTGATGACCCATAATGTGACCAGCCACCAGGGGGCGATCGAAATGTTTTGCCTTCACTTTTCAGGATGTGTGCAGCACACTTGGGTTAAGCCCAGTGGACTCTGGGGTATTTAGCTGTTTAACTCTAAATTTGAAGTAGTTCAAAAGCCACAAACTACATGGAAGTCTTTTCTTGGGCGTCATGTAACTTTTTTGATATTACCATTGCAGAAATACATCCAGGAGGCCAGGAACCTTGGCACCACTCTCCGCCAGCCCAAACTCTCCAACCTGTCGCCTTCAGTCATTGCACAGACCAACTGGAAGTTTGTAGAGGGACTGTTGAAGGAGTGCAGAAATAAGGTGTGTGTTTTGATCTTCCTCTAGGTTTGGTATAGGGCTGCACAATTAATCGCAATTTACATGAAATCGCACTTAAATCGATTTGGCTTATTGCGATTATGAAATTTTTCGATTATTTTTAATGCGCAGCTTGTCGTTGATGTACGGCTCTGTAAACGCTGCTCCATCTGAAAGCACTGCGAGTTTGAGTCACTTATAACGTGCATTTGAAAGAGTCAAACATCTTTCCAAACATGAGAAGCATTTATGAACCTCTTGTCCAACAAAAGGCAACATTTAATTCGCCTTTGGCTAAGCCACACCCTAGAATGTAGATTGACCAATCACAGCGCAGCCAAGAACGAGCTCCCACAGAGGTCCGACACTTTTTCACAGCGCTCCATTGACTTTAACACAGGCGTCTCATATTTTTGGTCTCGGCCGGCTATTATTACCGTCGTAGTTTTATCAAAAATATGCTAAACGTTGTGCCTGGGGCATTTGTAACACAGATACGCGTTTCCCAGAGAGGTTGGAGGGGGGTGTGCGTTTTTTTCCCTTCCCAAACCGAAGTCAAATCCTGACAAGTGTCGTCTAGCACACGCTGCTAATAAATACAACGCTATACTCGCGTAGTCCGTTTGCTTTGTAATAACGATTATAGAAGTGAATAGAGACCTACCCAGCTTTGCATGAACAGTGTTGCTCCTTGATATTGTTAGTCCCAGCCTCCGTCTCGATTAGTAGGATATGCGGTGGGTCATTTTTTGACTGTGACCGGTATGCTTTTGCCTCTATTTGGATGCCTTGTTGTTCCTTGCGTTTCACCTGTATGTCGTGATTATAGCCTTCGAACGTATATTGCAGCCCTTTTGCCTACTTCTATCGAACACTTTATTTGCTGCTTTATAAAAGTTTGATCAAATTTCAGCAGGAAGAGCTGTCACAGCATAAGCCATGTTGATACCAGAGCCCAGATGAAGTTTGTTTTTCGGATGTAGCAACAGTAACTAAAGGGGGCGGGGCTTAGCCAAAGGCGAATTACATGCTTTTACTCCAAACTCACTTCATAACGACAGTTTGAGCATCCTTCTGTGAGATGATGTGGCTTCTTACACAGAATAAGGCAGTCGTGTGTTTATTAGTCATGTTTAATCAAAGCGTTTCAATCTTCTGTTCATTCAGCTACAGCGATTTCCTGGAATGATGTGTGTTTTCATACTTCTGCGGCGGGGCATATTTGGCGTGTGTGTGTGTGTGTGTGAGACGCCCTCTGGTGTTCAGATGGAGCAGCATTTGCTAATGATCAGCCGCGCTGAACTGACAAGCTGCGCATAAAATAATCGCAGCCTTTGCCAAATCGGTTCATTGCGATTAATCATGCAGCCCTAGTTTGGTAATAGACTCAGCTTTACATGTTGATGTAATAAAGCTGGTATTGATATTCATCTCGGGTGATCCAGATAGTTCAAGGATGTAAACTATAACCCATTTGATCTGTGGCTCAGACGAAGCGCATGCTGGTGGAGAAGATGGGACGGGAAGCGGTGGAGCTGGGACACGGGGAGGTTAGCATCACTGGCGTGGAGGAGAACACGCTCATCGCCAGCTTGTGTGATCTGCTGGAAAGGATCTGGAGCCACGGTCTGCAGGTCAAGCAGGTAAATAGACTACATACATCAACTCTACGACTACTGTTATGAAAGTAATAATGTATTTGGATTGCTTGACCTGGTCCTGCTCTGTGTGTTTTTCAGGGAAAATCCGCCTTATGGTCGCACCTCTTACATTATCAAGAGAGTAAAGAGAAGAGAGACGCTACTCCAGCAGGCCTTGGCCCTCCTGGTAAAATACTTTGAATGTGATACAATCATTTTTGCACATTGTAACTCTGTTCCATACCTCTACCTGACTACAATACAATACAAATTTTATTTCTATGACATATTTAAAACAACTGCTGTTGACCAAAGTGCTTACCAGCATCGATAATACAACAACATACAGTTACACAAACAAAATTAAAACCTGTTATTAAACAATTTAATTAAAACAAACAAAATTAAAACCTGACTACATAGGCATCTTCTTCTGAAGCAACATGCGAACCAAAATTGAACCTCATAAGTGACTGATTCGAAATGCTGGTCACTCGCACACACAGGTGGACCGCACAAAAACTCGGCTAACATGGTGATTCCAACTTTGATGTTACATTTATCTCATGTTGCTTAAGCCTAGTTCACACTACATGATTTTAAAACGTCGGGCTGAACTGTGCGGTTCACACTACATGACTTGCTCTCTTTGAAATCAGGAGTGTTCAAGTTGTTGAGCTGGTCACACCACACGACACAACGTGATTGATCCGCAACAGGAGGTAACGCACTACACGAGTTGACAACAACTCTGTCACCCAACGATTCTATCTTGTCTACAAACCACGTTTGTCACGAAAAATCACACGATAAAACGAACCGGAAATGACGCGAAACAGCACGCGCGCCAATACCCAGCGAAGAAGAACACAATACGCGAACATGCCTTGCTCTGATTGGCTGTAGCTCATGACATCACGTGAGCTTGAGTCGTGCGACAGCTCTGGATATCTGCGAGGCGTCTGCGAGCGTCTTTGATGCGTTGTTGGCTCTTTCATACTAAAAGATTGGCGAGCGTTCATCGCCCGCTAATCCCCCGCGATTTGCACGCGATAACACCCTGACCTGTCGGCGAGCTCAACGATTTGCAAATCGGGCTTAAAATCATGTAGTGTGAACTAGGCTTTAGCTAACAACTGACTTATGCTGCATTCATGCCATATCGTGATTAACGTAATTACGAGATGACAACCCGTGGCGATCTATAACAACACTCAACGCAAAAATAATTCTGCAGTGTCAGGTTGTGCATTGGAATCGCTTTATTCGCTTTTTTCAATAATAAAAAACAATGACAGCCAATCAGAATCAGACTTTAAAGAGCTCAAACATTTAAAGCGACAGACAATAAAACGTTATCGTGCGTTGGCTTGGATGCTAATTTAGTTGTTATCTTTATAGTTTTCATTCTTGGTGTGAACAGGGCTTAAAACTGAAACTATTAACTACCTTTGTTAATTTAATTTAATTTAAACATCGTTGAAATAAAATCTAAATATTGGAAGAAAGCTTAGTAAACTATAATTAATAAACAGTTATAATTCAAACGGTCTTAACCAGATTCCAGCGATAAGCAATTTGTCTGTCCACACCAGACACAACATGACAAAATCAATAAAAATTCTCAGCCAATCAGAAGAGTGTGTGGGCGGAGTCTCTCTGCAAGCGCACTGCACTCGCAACCAAATCAATAAAAAATCACAGCCAATCAGAAGAGTGTGTGGGTGGAGTCTCTGCAAGCGCACTGCACTCGCAACCAAATCAATCAAAAATCACAGCCAATCAGAAGAGTGTGTGGGCGGAGTCTCTCTGCAAGCGCACTGCACTCGCAACCAAATCAATCAAAAATCTCAGCCAATCAGAAGAGTGTGTGGGCGGAGTCTCTGCAAGCGCACTGCACTCGCAACCAAATCAATCAAAAATCACAGCCAATCAGAAGAGTGTGTGGGCGGAGTCTCTCTGCAAGCGCACTGCACTCGCAACCAAATCAATAAAAAATCACAGCCAATCAGAAGAGTGTGTGGGTGGAGTCTCTGCAAGCGCACTGCACTCGCAACCAAATCAATCAAAAATCACAGCCAATCAGAAGAGTGTGTGGGCGGAGTCTCTCTGCAAGCGCACTGCACTCGCAACCAAATCAATCAAAAATCTCAGCCAATCAGAAGAGTGTGTGGGCGGAGTCTCTGCAAGCGCACTGCACTCGCAACCAAATCAATCAAAAATCTCAGCCAATCAGAAGAGTGTGTGGGCGGAGTCTCTGCAAGCGCACTGCAATCGCAACCAAATCAATAAAAAATCACAGCCAATCAGAAGAGTGTGTGGGTGGAGTCTCTGCAAGCGCACTGCACTCGCAACCAAATCAATCAAAAATCTCAGCCAATCAGAAGAGTGTGTGGGCGGAGTCTCTGCAAGCGCACTGCAACCGCAACCAAATCAATCAAAAATCACAGCCAATCAGAAGAGTGTGTGGGCGGAGTCTCTGCAACCGCACTGCAACCGCAACCAAATCAATCAAAAATCACAGCCAATCAGAAGAGTGTGTGGGCGGAGTCTCTGCAAGCGCACTGCACTCGCAACCAAATCAATCAAAAATCGCAGCCAATTAGAAGATTGTGTGGGCGGAGTCTCTGCAAGCGCACTGCAACCGCAACCAAATCGATCAAAAATCACAGCCAATCAGAAGAGTGTGTGGGCGGAGTCTCTCTGCAAGCGCACTGCAACCGCAACCAAATCAATCAAAAATCACAGCCAATCAGAAGAGTGTGTGGGCGGAGTCTCTGCAAGCGCACTGCAATCGCAACCAAATGGATAAGTACGTAATCAAATTCATAAATATTACACCATTTTAATATTATTAAAAATACATACTGAAACAATCTTTGTCATAGATTACATTCGTTTGTTCATAATGAGTTCACAGTTTGAACATTCTTAGGACACGGTGTTACACAACATTTCAAATGAAAATTGAAAATGTAAAAATAAAAGCTAATTAAAAACATTAATAAATACTATAATAGTATATACATTAATAATAAAATAACACTGCATTTTATACAGCATAAAACACAAGCGCCAGAACTTTTACGCCAGAGTACATTTTTATTATTGACTACAATATAAGTGTTTTTATTTTACGTTCACTGAATTTGGTGCAGTGTTTTCTGGGATATATGCATTGCTCCCTAGATATATATATTTTTTTTTTTGCTGGTGGAACAACCTCCACATCGGAAATGTTTACTATGATGCCAAAATGCTTTCCAGGTCAGCAGCTCGCTAGGGTTTGGAACAGAAAGCCAGTGTAGTGCTTAGGTAGTTGGCTTTCATTGAAAACATGCTGAATAGCTTTTGTTATGTTTGATTTTTCAGCATATTTTCCCTGTTTTGTGTCTCAGGTATCATTCATGACACAGAGAGACGGAAGTCGGATGCTAGCTGTGCAATGCCGCCTCTCAAAGTCTCCTTGATCCAGGACATGAGGTGAGCATTAAACCATTATAGTAGAGCAAAGCAATCACACTACACAGAGAAGTGACGGAGTCCTTTGCATGTACTCTTAGTTCTTGGTTCTGGCTCTAGGTTATGAGTGGTTTTGGTTTGACATATACAGCAATGTGCAGTGCAGTATGGAAAAAAATATGTTTTTTGAACATCAAAAATACAATTATGAACTTGTAAAGGAGCACAATACGGGCATGTTAAATAAAAACAAAAGAAAGGATAATATAGTGTCCCGAGTCACTGCAACAATGCAACAAAATAAAGGAACGGGATGTCCGTCAAAAGAGCTCACATCACTACATCAGTCATTTAAAATGATAATTTGCGTGTCAGTCAGTACATCAGAACAAACCTGTTTTGTGTATAAAAAATAAATTGTAATTCCAAAAAAAATATTCCTTACAAGAATCAAATTGATAGTCAGACAATATGAAACTATACCCTGAAACCCAAGGTCAAAAAAGGATCACATGTATTTTTTATTCATTTGATTTTTTACAGTTTAACATTTAAATCAATTTATGAACTGAAAGTGAATTTTTTATGTCGTTTTTATGAAAGTACAGGTAGGCTGAGAGTGTATGGTCTTAGATGGGAAGGGGGGAAGGGGGGTGCGATTCCTCACTTCGCGTGAAGAAAGCACTGAGACGTTTCATGTCGCCACATTATTTCCAGCCTAATTAACACCAGACCCCCTGCTGAGCTGAACTGTGCCAGTGCATGAAAGCCTCGGCATGACTTTAGCCATGTCAGCATCTCCTATTGACAATGCATTCAACAGAAATGGTTAATTGGTGTTAACAACACAGTATTTATCATAAAAGTATTACCTTCCTGGTACCTTTTTTTCCTGATGTCAGCAAAAAAAGAAAGGCAATGACATTGTTCAGTGCATTAATATTATGCCTGCAGGTCTACTTGAAAATCTGGCTTCAGCAGACTGTAATTGTGAGGTTTGTAGAGTCTGGAGGGCAGCACTGAACGCTATAATGCACTTATGTAATGGAAGGTCAGACAGTGTTGACTACTAGAGGTGGAGTGGAAGACAATGTGTCTGGACGTGGCATGCGTGATAGCGGCTGGCTGATGCTCTAGGGAGTCTGAGACATTTCTCCTGCCCCCATTTTCTCTCCTGAAACGCTGGCGAATTCCCATCGCACTGCAAGAATGCATTGGGTTCAGTGCTGTGAACCTGTGCACGGCGGTATCTCAGCAATCGATTCTTATAGAGCCATCACTCTGTGAATTTTTGTTGACAAAATCCAGTCATTTCAATTGGAATTTGAAAACCATTCGAAAAATAAAATACCCTTTCGCTCAGAGTATTTAACCCTCATGTGGTCTTCGGGTCATTTTGACCCGGAGAAGATTTTCTTTTTCCCAAAAATACTAGCTAATGTTATCGCATTGGACTGAAACTTAGTGACTTTGTTCCCAAAGGATATAACTACTTCTCAAATGTTTTTTGAAAAATTTCGTACTTTTTTTAAGGGGGGTTTGTTACCTTGTTACTACACTTGTGGTCTTCCCGGGTCAAAATGACCGGCCTATAAAAAATAGCTTATAAATCACTCATTATACCATATTTTCACCAAATCTTGGATTCAATCTTTTTGTCAACTTGTTCTCGTTCAATTAGGACTGGTTTTGTATTTTCATTTGCATCTGATTAATCGTGGGCCTCATTTATCTAAGAGTAGGCATCTCATTTTTTGAGTAATAAAATCGTCTTCCCGGGTCAAAATAATGCTTTTTTCACTCAAAAACTAAGGTACATAAGCTCGGATAAATCACTCCTACAATTAAACCATTTGAAAATTAAATACAAAACCAGTCCTAATTGAAAGAGAACAAGTTGACAAAAAGATTGAATCCAAAATTGGGTGAAAATATCGTATAATGAGTGATTTATAAGCTATTTTTTATAGGCCGGTCATTTTGACCCGGGAAGACCACAGGTGTTATAGGGTTTTGAACGTCAAGTCTTGTCGCCTTTATTTATGTAGCGCTTTTAACAATATAGATTGTTTCAAAGCAGCTTTACATTGATTATAATGGAAATTGGAATTGAAAGTCCTGTTATCAGTTTGTGATATCTGTTATCTGTCATTTTTCAGGCACATCCAGAACATCAGTGAGATCAAGACGGATGTTGGGAAGGCCAGGGCATGGGTGCGTCTCTCCATGGAGAAGAAACTGTTGTCCCGGCACCTGAAACAACTGCTGTCTGACCATGAGCTCACTAAGTAAGACCTATCGACTAGTTCTTTAGTGGCGTAGAAGGTACTACCATAAATCAGATGTACTGTGTAGAGTCGACGAACACTTGGATATCAGACAGTTCAAATGTAAGAGATGTAGCACAGCAAAGAATAAGGCTCCATTAAAAATGAAGTGGTTTTTTAAATGTATTTATTATTAATGGTCCTTGAACTGAAGTGGCTCATCCACACTCTTTGTGGTGTCCTCTTCTGACCTGAAATGCATTTGAACTCGTTTTCTTCAGGTTCTTTAAACATGCACTTGACTTTTATCTCTGTTTCCTTTAAAGCTGTATGATTTACCATGTTTGGTTGTATTTATTTGAAGGAAACTCTATAAGCGATATGCTTTCTTGCGCTGCGATGATGAAAAGGAGCAGTTCCTCTACCATCTCCTCTCTTTCAACGCTGTGGACTACTTCTGCTTTACCAATGTCTTCACCACAATTAGTAAGAGGCATCAATCTGGAATTGCAGACACAGTACATCATTAAGCTTTTTGCAGTTGAGAGTAACAATTAGGGCTGAGTAATAGAGTTTATAATATATATATACAGTGTAAACTCTCAGCCCTAATTGTTACTCTCAACTGCAAAAGCTTAATGGTTTTAAACCCTGAAGCCCTCCACCTCCCCCAGCTCCACCTGTCTAGATCTAATATGGGATTTATGAATGTCTATTTATGCAGCTGCATATCTTGCATACTAATTAATACAAAAATATATATTATTACAATTCTACATTTCATATTAATATAAATAATTGACATTTTTGAGGCATTTTCGTGTCTTAACAACACACATGTTAAATGAATGTGGCCTAATAAAATGTGCATTAAATCACTGTAATATTCATGGTGTTGCTTAATATTGCATCACTAGCCAAATTAAACCATGCATATTTATTATATTAATTCTTGTATCAAATAAACTTCTCTTGACCTCATCCTTGTTGTTGTTTACAGTGATACCATACCATGTGGTCATCATTCCCAGTAAGAAACTAGGTGGCTCCATGTTTACGGCCAACCCCTGGGTGTGCGTCTCAGGGGAGCTAGCTGAGACTGGGGTCCTGCAGGTCCCCAAAAACACTCTGGAGATTACGTTTGAGGTGACACACCTACGTTCTTTTGCTTTATTCGCCAAGTGTGCGCAAACACACATTTTGAATGTGTTGTGGTTTTCAGGAGCTCTGGGTACACACATGCATGCATGCATACATACATACATATGTACATACATACATACATACATATGTGGATACATACATAGTTGCATACATACATTCATACTTACATGCATGCATTAGGGGTGTAACGATTCATTCGTTTTCTCGATGCATCGATTACAAATCCTGACGATGCATATGCATCGATCTTGAAACATGTATTTCGAATCGTGAATCGTTTATTTCGGTCAATATTCGATTTAAAATGCAAAGAATCGAATAATTTGCGATTCTATATCGATTCAGTGCTTAAAAACATATAAACATTAAATGACTACATGCGCGAATTAATGAGGGGTTGTGCGGCGTCATTTCGCGTCCTCACAGCTCTCACATACTCGCTGCACTCTTACCATCTTTCACTGGATTTCGCTCGCGCTCGGTCCCATATAGCTCTCATCTGCAGATTTGAGCAGTCCATGTTTGAGCTCTCCTCAGGACAGCCATTGGTGTTCACGTGAGCAGATGACAGCTCTCTATCGAGAAAGCAAGCCATTGATAAAGCTGCCATATTATTACGCGGTCACTGCTATGAAACAACGCGTTCGTTGCGTGGAAACGTCACCGTTATTTTCTTTAAGATAAGATACTGAAGTTTTACGGAAATGGGTCATACCCGTCCTGAGCAGTTAAAGTAAAACCCCACTTATTCAAGGGTGCGCATTTATTACATGGAAAGAGAAAACATAATAGGTGTCTAAAATGCACATGCTTCCGATTAATCATGAATGATGAATGAAATGTAACTTAATGTCGTTAAACCGAACTGATGAAATAACTACAACATTAATTACACTGAAATAAGAGCGCGTGGCCTATCCATCAATCAGATGCGCATTAAAGTTGCATTCGTAATAATCGTTAATATAGCACAAGTAGACAGCCGGCGCGTTTTTTTTCAGAATCACAAGGAAAATGTTCAGTCGGATAAAGAGAACAAAGAGTAGCTATTCCATGAGGAAACGTTAGTTAAGGTTTAGTTGGGAAAGTTCATGGTATTTTTAGTCTCACAATGGAGGATGTTTAATGTACCAGGAACACTTTAAGGTTGTGTATCCATTCCTACAAAATAGTTAGCATGATGAACTAACTATACTTTTAAAGCCTTTTTAAATCTTGGTTTACATTTTTACAAATGCTAATTTATAGGCTTTGGAAATATTTTTTTATAATAATAGATTCATTAAAAACTAACATGAACTAACGTTAACAATAGACAAAATGTCGTTGGTTTTTTTTGTTCCCACTCTCTGACCCCCGAAGGCAGCTGTAGCCTATAATTCACACCCTGACTAAGACCCATTGGGGGAAGCATTTAAATAATCCTATGAATGCATATAAAAAATTAATAATCGAATCAAATTAATTGAATCGCATCGAATTTTAATGTGAATCGCATTGAATCGAATCTTTCTGAATTTGCAAAAATCGTTCTTGAATCGAATCGAAAACCTATGAATCGTGAATCGAATCGATTCGCTGCCTACCCAAAGATTCACAGTCCTAGCATACATACATACATACATACTTGCATACACACATTCATATTTACATGCATACATACATACATACATACATACTTGCATACACACATTCATGCTTACATGCATACATACATACATACATACATACTTGCATACATACATTCATACTTACATGCATACATACATACATACATACATACATTCATACTTACATGCATACATACATACATACATACATACATACTTGCATACACACATTCATGCTTACATGCATACATACATACATACATACATACATTCATACTTACATGCATGCATGCATACATACATACATACATACATACATACTTGCACACATACATTCATACTTACATGCATACATACATACATACTTGCATACATGCATACATACATACTTGCATACATGCATACATACTTGCATACTTACATACATACATACATACATACTTGCATACATACATACATACTTGCATACATGCATACATACTTGCATACTTACATGCATACATACATACATGCATACACAAGATAATAGAAAGAACATTTATATAAGTAAGATTAAGAAAACTAAGAATAAAAAAATAATACATTAAAAAGCGATAAAGTTTCACTATATATTTTGCTGTATTTTTGGGCACCATGCTAGATATTGACTATTGAAAACCCCAAGGTGACTTCCTGTTTTGGTAATCTGTTTGGTCGAGGTTTGTTGTATAAGTCTGTTTGTACTTCGCACAGTGCCAGAACCTGGGGAAGCTGACCACCATACAGATGGGCCATGATAACTCAGGGCTGTATGCGAAGTGGCTAGTGGAGTGCGTAATGGTCCGCAATGGGATCACAGGGCACACTTACAAGTGAGTGCCAAGATTTTAGTAGCACCATAATCACATTATTCATTACTAGTCCCTCAACTGACTGTCTGTTGTGTAGGTTTCCGTGCGGCCGTTGGCTGGGTAAAGGAGTGGATGATGGCAGCTTGGAGAGGATACTGGTGGGCGAATTGGTGACTAACACGGAGAACGAAGAAAGAATGTGCCGGACTCCTCCAATGCAGCAATCCCCCGGGATGATGCGAAGATTTGTCACCATTTCTCCAAACAGCAAACCAAGTGTGTACTTGGAAGTTTCATAAAAGTCAAAAGTCACAGCTTATAGATTTTATAACTGCACTTATTGCTGGAGGATATTTGTTGTCTCAAGCATGTTTCCCATTGTGTGTCCTCTAGAGTTAAACACCGGCCAGATCCAGGAAGGAGTGGGAGAGGCGATTAATGGGATCGTCAAACACTTCCATAAGCCAGAAAAAGAGGTAAAGACAAACAAACAGTGGAAAGGAGAAATGTGGATGAAATCAGCACATATTGATGATCTTTCTTCTCTTGTAGAGAGGAAGCCTCACGTTGCTTTTGTGTGGAGAGTATGGTTTAGTTTGGGCTTTAGAGCAGGTGTTCCAGCATGGATTCAAGTCACCGCGCCTTTTCAAGAACGTCTTCATTTGGGACTTCCTTGGTAATAAATACTGTTACATTCCATAAAATACTTTTTTATTATTAGTTATTATTAATTTCTCATACTTGGAGTTTTTGTCTTATCAGACATGATTAGGTGTTATTCATATTGTATATTTATACTGCATATTTTGTTCAAGAGCCGCCCACTTAGACAGGAAGAGCAGCTTGACTGACATGTAAAGGGATCAATCACAGTTTGTTTTGTTTATGTGCCATTTTATTCACTACTGTCAAGGGTTTTTTTTCATGAATTAATACTTCTATTCAGCAAAAATGCATCATATTGATCAAATCTGACAGAAGCCATGTTTCCATCCACTTGTCAATCGAATTATCAGAAGTTCGGTAAAAAACCTCATGCGAATAAAGCTGGTGAAAGTGTGTTTCCATCCAACGTCTTTAAAGCGGATACAAACCTGTGCGTAATGACGGCACATGCTGTTTTGCGATCAAATTGGTATATCGAATTGATTTGAGACGTGTTAAGGTGTTTCCATTCATTTTCTCACCGAATTTCACAACATTCAAGCCAACATTTGCGAACAAAGTTTTACTAGGCAAAATGGATCGCGCCATAATAACGTTTCCATCCGCGTTTATCGCAATCAATCGAATTGTACTGTTTCCATAAGGCATTTTTCATTCGATATCACTTAATGCGGATAAAAACGTGTGGATGGAAACATAGCTAGTACAGACATTAATAGTATTACAAAAAAATATTTTCAAATAAATGCTGTTCTTGTGAACTTTTCTATTCATTAACGAATCCTAAAAAAAATTGCTTTTGTCTTTTTGTCCACAAAAATGTTAAGCAGCACAGCTGTTTTCAACATTGATGATTATAATAATAAATGTATCTTGAGCATAAATCCACATATTATAATGATTTCTGAAGGATCATGTGACACTGAAGACTGGGGTAATGATGCTGAAACTTCAGCTTTGAATCACAGGAATAAATTACACTTTCACATTTATTCAAATGGAAAACGGCTATTTTAAATTGTAATAATATTTCAAAATATTACTATTTTTACTGTGCATCTTGGCGGTCTGTAGTTTGCAGCTGAGACTAGGAGTTTGTTATAACCTAAATCCTATTGGGAACATGAAGGAGACCTCAAAATGTTGCAAATGATCCTAAATCCTTCTGTTTCATATTCTGTATTGCCACAGAAAAATCACAGGTTTACTTTGAGAGTGCGGAGCAGAGTCAGATGACCCAGGACGAGAACTGGCTGATGAGAGTCCGTCATTTCTGCCATTTCATGCGCGCCATCAACAGCACACCCAGAAACATCGGCAAAGATGGGAAGTTTCAGATGCTCGTGTGTCTCGGGGCCAGGTTGGTCATTATTTGAGTAGATTTTTTTTACTGTTTTTGAGTATTTCTGAATTTTAAAGTGCCCATTTAATGCTCCTTTACAAGTTCGTAACTAATTTTGGTATCTGCTACAAAATATTTACATGATTTAAAGAAAAAGAAACACTAATTTTTCCATACATTTCTGCAGCACCTCTTTCACCCTCTGCCTGAAACACTCTGTTTTAGTTCCTGTCTAATTACAAGCAATAGGACAAAAAACTACAATAGACACAAATGAAATAGACCTACCTGAAAACGTCAAACACTAGAAATAAGAAAGACTACATTAATTGTATAAAGTAGTCAAATGTACAAAAAACACTGCATACTCTTCATTGTGTAAATTAAATATTAATTTATTCCAAGTTACAAAAGTGATTCAGTCAAGAGCAGTGAGAGATTGTTTGATTAACATTAATGACACAGACGGCAGCTGGTTTATTAGGCTGCTGTCACTTTAAGACCAAATGCACGAATCTAATATACTGATACGTTTTCTTTCTCAGCTGTTGATGACAGGCATTTTGACACATTGTGTGTATTTGACCGTTCAAGCCCAAAAAGAACTCATTTCAGTTCTCACGCGCTGTATGAGCAGTGGCTTTATGTGTGCGCTCAGAAAACATCTCTTAGTGCGCCATATACAGAAATGAGTTTTCCTTCACTGCTTATTGTGCTTGAACGAGGCTTAAAAACGCATTAAACAATGACGGGACAGCACGGCATAGTCACTTGAGCATAACCGCGATAGAAATTTCTCTCTGAAATTTCTACAGGTTGACGCATTTCTACCGGTTTATCGTGTCTACTGGTATATAGCCCATCCTAGGGTGGGACTTGTCCTCCTTAATGTCTGAGGTGGTTACGGCCCAGTAGTGAAGTTACAAAAATAATGGAAGGACTACAGCTAACAATTTTTGCTTCCCAGAATGTTCGTTTTTAAGGTTTGTTTTTGGACATTTTTCTTAACGGAAATAGAACGTTAGTTTTTGGTTTGTAGAACGTTATTCTAACGTTACGTTAACGTCCCCCCCCAATGTTATTTTAACGTTATTCTAACGTTTACCTAACCTCTTTACTCCAATATCATAACCCCACCACACTACCCATTATAGTATAAGCCGTATTATGGACGTCTATAATCAGTATCATACAGCATTAAACAAAATAACCGTTTTGGAACGTAAGGTATTTTTAGGTTATTTAAAAATAACCACCCTGCAACATTTTGGGAACATTATTTTATGGTTGCAAAAAATAAAACCTAAAAAGAACAATCCTATAATGTTCTTTGGTTCTGAAAAAATAACCAAACGGAAACCAAATAGTAACGTTATTCATGACGTTATACAAGGGGAACGTTGTGTTTGCTGGGACTTGCTGTTCTCTGGTGGAGAGATCGACACCCTTCGACTTTGTAACTTTGCAGAATATTTACATGAACAAACAGCAACTGTATATTACACACTAAAGGAAAGGTAAAATCAGAAAAAGGCATATTAAATGTGCCCTCGTTTGAATTGACATGCTCTTTTGTCACATGGATCAGTCACATCTGCTGACTCCTGTTGTCTTTCTGCTTGCAGAGATCACCTGCTGCACCACTGGATCGCGCTCCTCGCCGAGTGTCCAATCACAGCACAGATGTACGAGGACATGGCGCTCTTAAAGGACCATTCTCTGGTGAACTCTCTGATTCGAGTGCTACAGACTCTGCAGGAATTCAATATCACTCTGGAGGCGTCTCTCGTCAAAGGCATCGGGATCTAACGCCGTCTCTATAAAGAACTAACACACAGATCAGCGGGACCATGGACTAACTTTTTTTTTTTTTTACATGGAGAGACTTGAACAAAAGGACTTAACCTGGCTTACGTTAAAGCTACTGTCATGTTTGCCATATATTAAGTGCAATGAGTCTTTTCAAACGTGTCATAATTTGTATCAACTGACATTCAAATACGTCCTCTATTTTGATCCATACGTTTCTGGAAAGGTGAAAACTCCCACCTGTGCTATACCGTTTTATTGAAAGCTCAATATTTTTCGTTGTTGTTGTGGACTGCTGACAATGGCTATATTTAAAAGGGAAACATGTAAGAAAAACTGTTATTATATTTTCAGAGAAGAACAGTGTTATTTTGATACGTGTCAGGTTGCTTGCTCTGTGCTCTAATCGAATCCATACTGTCACCATGCAGAGTTTGAAGCAAATGATGTAGAAGTATGCTTTATAAGTACAACTTGTGGGGAATTCATATTTTACTTAAAAAAAAGAAAGAAAGAAAAGATAAGAAAAATGGAAAAGGCTCTTCTTTTTTTTTTTTTTTTTTTAAACAATGCCAGAGGCTTTTGTGATTTCAAATGCAAATCAGTTTAAAGAGATAGTTCACCCCATAAATTACACTACCGGTCAAAGTTTGGAAATTATGTTTTTTTGTTTTTTTAAAGATGTCTCTTCAGCTCACAATTGTGAAACATTATTACAATTTTAAAGAACTGTTTTCTATTTTAATAAAAATGTAATTTATTCCTGTGATGCAAAATTTTTAATTTTCAGCATCATTACTCCAGATTTCTGAAGGATCATGTGACACTAAATAGCTGGAGTAATGATGCTGAAAATTCAGCTTTGATCACAGGAATACATATATATATATATATATATATTTTAACTATAGAGATAGAAAACAGTTATCTTACATTGTAATAATATTTCACAATATTATTGTTTTTACTGTATTTTTGATCAAATAAAGGCAGTCTTTGTGAGCAGAAGAGACTTGAGTCAGTCACCATTTACTCATTCCTAACCCTCTTTCTCTCTTGCCCATACAATGAAAGTGAATGATGACCACAGTGTCCACAGTTCATTAAATGGGAAAAGAGCAGCTTGAACTTTCATATAAATATCTCCTTTTGTGTTCCACGCAGGAAAAGGGTGAACTGTCTTCTTAAGCTTATTATGATCCCCTAAAATCATAGATACGACTTCTGAAAGTGATGTCCAAACATATTTTATGAGAGAGACTGTAAAAACTAAGAACAATCAACGTAGAAAGGATAACATTAGCGTTTCACCTAATAAGCAGTTGCAGCAACCGATGTATCCTTTCAAAGCAGCGTAACACTCTTTAGCCCTCAGGTCTCGACTGTGGGCGACTCTAATGCCATATTTAAAGTAGAATTAAACTGGCACAGCTGCTGTGTTTGTGTCCCTAGTTAAACCCCAGCAGCCCCTCTGTTTCTGCTATGCAATATTTACAGCTCCAACAGTTTGTTATTGAATACTGATTACAAATATTCGCCTGTTTTTAGAGTGTAGCATCATTCGTAGGATATACCTTGGAGAAGCACATCAAAGGCTGATTGATATTCATGTGCCAATTTCATGATGAATGTTCTGGTTCCTGTTCAAACACAGCTGGCATGATCATTCTGGGAGTTTTTCTTTCTTTCTTGTGTTTTATCTCGATACATTTATAGACAAAGCAGTGTAATGTAGTGTTAAATATTGAACAATTGTGTACAGTGTATAAAATGTATTAAAGGTGACAATTCAATATGGTTATGAATGATGCTTCTGCTTTTTTTTTAATGATGCAAGTTTTTGACTTTCATCAAGAGCAAAATCTGTTTTGATTATATCTTTGCAGTACAATCAGTTAGTTTTTTTTTAAATTAAATATTTCCATGTCCTATGAGCAGCATTTGTATTAGACTTTTATTGTTTAATAGCCATATTAATAAATAGACTAAGTGGAATATTTTGTAGTATTAAAGGGGTGATTAAAAATGAGAAAAACTAAAAAAAAATCTCTCATTGCTGAACTTTATACTTAATACTTTCTTTCTAAGCACGTTTTTAAAAAAGAGGTTCACGAACTTCAACTTTAACGATATGAAATTGTATTTTTAAAATAAACTTTTAATGAGTTGTCAGGAAAACGTGCATGGACAAGTTATGTACCCATTTTAAGACTAATATCGTTAAAAAAAAAGGCTACTGCTGTTTTATAATGCTGGTCGGTCTTTAGGACTTAATGCAAACTGCGTTTCACTGAGTGAAAGACAAGACATAATAAAATCACTTTATCGGGAACATTACATTTCAGCGTGTTATATAATATAATAATATAATATAATATACAGACAGTCTCGTATTCCAAGCATTCGAGCTACAACCCAGTCTATGGCTACAACATAGCGGGAAACGAGTCGTCCATTCACACACATTCAAGTCACAACAAGAACAATGCGTTACGTGCGGAACGTTTGTGTACTTCCCCGGATGAAACATTCTTAAATGCCAAGCTCGAGCGCAGTGATTGGTTGAATGGATGTTTAAACTTGGCGTCTAAGCTCCTTATATGGTCTTCCTCCGACAAACCCCTTTACTCAATGTTTGTACGCAGGCCCCGCCCCCACCATTCATTTGTGTTTCTGTGTGTGGTCGTAGTAAGGCATGCGCAGTACAGACGAGTAAAACGGACGGAATTCAAAGTTTCTGACGGTAAGTCCTTTGTTATTGTTGCGAACTAACTATACGAATGTAGCATCTCGTTTTTAACTGGTTGTACTGTCAGTATTGGAGTGCGTAACATGTTGTGTGTGTAATGTTAGTGCGCTTACAGCGCGGTTATTTACATCAACAATGGGGCTTGGCGCGCGTGGATGTGGAGCGTGGCATGGTCGCGTGCTAACGGGCTAGCTGTTATTGTTAATGGGACGCGCGTTTGGCGCTCGCTCACTGTTTGGGCAAGTTTACAATAGCTATCGTATTCAAACCGTATTTTAACGGTAATATCCTCCGTATGCTTTTTAGAAACAGTTTCCTAAGCGATTTAAAAGCGCACGTGAATGTTAATTTACGACACATGTCCGTGTAGCTTTCTTTTGGTTTCAATGTATGCAAATATGGCGCGAACGAACTAATAAAAAAACATAAATCCGAGCATACTGTATGTTACAATTCATCTAAATAAATATTTTGTAATGTGTGGAGTCTTTGTGAATGAGTAATGTCATGTTTGGTGCTGTTTTTCCAGCGTTTGTGTTGATGTATCAAGTGCGTTTATGTTCATTATATTATGAATAACGTTAGCTTATATCGTTTAAGAGGTGTTTTTAAGTAGCCCAGTGTTTTTATTCCTGGTGTTTTGTCTAAAACCCCGTGAACAGGAGCCCATTTAATGGTACTTTCGATTTTACAACTCCGCCTATTTCACCCGTTTCGCCTTGTCAAAATTCCCAAAGGAATTCTTCCCATTTAAGTTGGCGTTTAGTCTCTCCAAATAATGATAATCCAACAAGAATCAAATACTACCAGAAAAGGACAAAATAGGAACTGATTTATCCAGTAGGACATGACTTGATTCTTCGAGGATTCCTGGGTTCCCAGTTAGTTTAAAATCCCATTATTGTTCTTTCTAGGATTTTTCCAAATAATCAAATCCCAGTGCACACATGTTGTTTGTTTTTCTCGTGCGAGTCAATGATCGTGTATTAAAGGGTGGCTGGAGCGAAAGGCTTTTGTCAAACATCAAAAGTAGGTCATTGCTGCAGACGAGACGGGTTCAGAGCAAACACGGGTTTTTAATCCCAGACGCACGCTTGTGATTCTGCATTTTTTCTTCGTAACTTCTAGTGCACAACGCGATGAAAAATTAAATTGTCAAGTTCAAGAGATATATTTGTTCCCCCGCCCCCTTCAATCCCCCGCGCAAAACGAGCAGGAGACCTTTTGTTTTAATGACGCTCTCCATTCATTTCTAGAGCCCGTAAAGATGTTCGGCTTCCATAAATCCAAGATTTACCGCAGTAACGAGGGTTGTTGTATTTGCAAAACCAAGTCATCAAGTTCTCGGTTCACTGACAGCAGCAGATATGAGGAAAACTTCAGACTCTGCTTCGGGTAAGTGTTTATCCATGACTCTGCTTGTATCCCCCCAAAAAATCACAATCACAATTTTTGATCCTAATCTATTGGAATTAAATAATATCATACTAGATGAGTTTTAATTTTTTCCAGCTTATGTGATCCCACTGGGATTGTTTCCAAAAAGAGGAATTCCATTAGCATTTGTTTTTTGATCATATGTAAGACAATTCTTGATGTTATAAAAATGAGTTCTGTCCTTAAATACATTTTCTGTCATTCATATTGCGATATTTTTCATAGTCTGGCAGAGGATCGGGTTGGAGACATCTGCAACGCTTGTGTGCTGCTGGTCAAACGCTGGAAGAAATTACCGCATGGATCAAAGAAGAACTGGAATCATGTAAGGGACCGTTTTCTTGTTTTCACTGGAATCATCCATTTTCATTCAAGACATTTTGAGAATAATCTTGTTTCCCTCGCAAGGTGGTTGATGCCAGAGCAGGACCTGGATTCAAGCTGACCAAACCCAAGAAAGTCAAAAATAGTGATGGAAAGAAGAAAAGTAAACTGAAGAAGCTTCATAAGTTCAAAAGACAAAGTGAGTTGCACTTAAAAAAAAAAAAAAAATCTAATCTCATGACTGTTCATATATCAATAATTTGGCGAATTGGTGGCTAATCCGTATGATTTAATTTGTACGTTTTAAGTGCAATTTGCTTATGCCCCAGTGACAGGTATGTTTATTGGTGGACTGTCGAAAACATTTTTTTTTAAGGGATAATTCACACTAAAATTAAAATGAAGTCATCATTTACCCACCCTGGTGTTGTTCTAATGCAATATGCCCTTTTTTCTTTTATGGACCACAAAAGGAGAATAAAAAGAAGAGAAAAAACCCCATAACTCTTGCACTCGTCCATATAATGACATTGAATAGCAACCAGCATCAAGCTTTTAAAAAAAATGCAGTAATGATCCTATGTGACGCGTTTTTTGGGGTGTACAGTAGGGTTTGGTGAAAAACAAACCGAAATTTTACGTATTATTTAACGGATATCCTGAGCTTGGCCGTTGGGCTTCTGTGCTTGACCGCGCGTTCTTGAATCGCGATTAGCGCCGCAGTTCACAGTTCGCCCCAGAAAAAAACACAAGTTATGAGAAATCAAGATGAATAAAAACGCGTCATGAAATGCGATCCACGAACCTTCTTTTCTGAGGTGAATCTAAGAAGTGATCGCGTTCACGTCGGTCAACGGTCATCTGACAAACGGAGTTGAGATATTACACGATGCTTTTTTTTGGATTTGCATTTCATGTCGCGTGTTTATTCATCTTGATTCAACTTGTGTGCTTTTTCGGAGTGAACTGCGGCGAGACAGTCGAGCACAGAAGACCAACGGCCAAGCTCAGGATTTTCATGAAAGGGATACTCCACTTTTTTTGGAAATAGGCTCATTTTACAACTCCCCCAGAGTTAAACTGTTTTACCGTTTTTGAATCCATTCAGCCGATCTCCGGTTCTGGCGGTACCACTTTTAGCATAGCTTAGCATACATCATTGAAGTGGACAAGACCAGACCAAGACCAGTGGAGTAATGATATGACGCAGCGCCTGAAAATAGTTCCGTTGTGTTGACGGAAGGTGGCCTATTTTCAGGCGCTGCGTCATATCATTACGCCTGCTGCTCTCATGGTACGGCAGTAAAGTTTCTTGATTATTACGCAGGAATGAGAGTATAGTTCCTAGCCACATCAGCCTAGAAAATCGCAACTTTACATTTTCCGTCGGTCTTAGTGCACGATGTAACTACATAAGAGTCAATAGGAAAAATATCGAAACTCTTTGGTCATTTTTTTTTTAGAAATGCTAATGGTCTTGTCCACTTCAATGATGTATGCTAAGCTATGCTAAAAGTGGTACCGCCAGAACCGGAGATCGGCTGAATGGATTCAAAAACGGTAAAACTCAACAGTTTAACTCTGGGGGAGTTCTAAAATGAGCCTATTTCCAAAAAAAAAAGTGGAGTATCCCTTTAAATACATACAATTTTGGTTGTTTGGTACCAAACCCTATCAAATAAAACCAGAACACTTGGAAAATACGAAATGTCACATGAGATTATTCTGTGATATCGGGCTGTCTAGTAATCATTTAATTAATCGAGTAGTCAGATACTTTTTGTGTGGTAATAAAATAGACCTAAACGAAGACCTAAGCCTTTAAAATGACTTAAAATACTTGTATAATAACAATGAGGCAATAATATTCGGTTCAAAATATTATTAAAAGTGTCAAAAGCAAGTAATAATTTATAGAATAATATAAACAATCATCTTATGCACATTCTGTATAATAACAAACGGCCTGGTGTTACACACTGTTCTCCTACCATTCACATCGCACAAACTAATCCAAAATCGCCACCTAAAATGGTTGTGTTTTCCAGTGAGCTTGTGTTTTTGCAGATGGCATGTTGATATGTTTACCGTCATGTCTTGACAGATTCAGATGCCCACAGCACCACATCCAGTATGTCTCCGTCTCAGTCTCCCAGCCACAGTAACCAATCAGATGACGGCTCAGACATCGAGACCAAACAGAGACGTCCAACCCCGTCTGGGTTCTCCTTTCTCGACCTGTCCTACTGGAAGAGGTATTCTTCTTCTCCTTCTGTTTACCAATGCGTGTTGACATCCTAGTGGTTGAGCAGAGGAATAACACCATCGATACGTTTCAGGCAGAAGGTGTGCTGTGGGATTGTCTACAAGGGCCGTTTCGGTGAGGTGATCATCGATCCTCGTCTCTTCAAGCCCTGCTGTAACAAGAAGCGTCCCGCTCTGGCATCCTCCTCGGACTCTCAGCTCTCCCAAACACTTCCTTCCCCTCTCCCAGAGGTCATGAAGGAGGCCTGGTGATCCACCCATCACACCCTCCTTGAGGCCCTCATAGCTTTGTCTCCAGTGGTAGACTCTGATATCTTCCCTTTGTTAGATAACTGTGTATGAGTTGAGTTTTCCCATTGCTTTTGTATTATTATTTTTTTATGCCTATTTTGTAAAATGCAATTTTTGTACCTTTTTTTTATGTTTTATATATAACCGTAAAAGGAGAAAAAATTGGGCATTAGGACATATTTATAGGTCTGAGTTAGGAAATTTAATGTAATCCATTTTTTTTATTACTGTAAATTTTTTTTGGGAGTTACCAGTGTTTTGTAAATATAATCTTATTTTCCATTCCAGTGCACCAAAAGACTTCTATTTGGCATTTAGTTTCACGGGTTGAAGATGAATAATGTAAAGTGCTATATATAACATTACAGCCAAGGCATTAATGAGATGGGTGTACTTTTAACTTAAGCAAATACAATATTTTACCTTGCAGTCTGCTCTGACTCGAGCTGTGAACTGTGCTCTGTTAAATCACACACACATGCATTTACTGACAAGGTTTCTTTGGGCACAATATTCACAATGTGAATTTTGGACACATGCTTGTAAAATCTCATTTATTTCTGGTTTGGCATAAAGATGTTTCTCAATATTTAAAATACGGTTACGGGTTTGTAAATCTTTAAAACCAAGATGCTAAAACGCATTATCTCAGAGTATTTAAACGGTTATCATTTACACAATGGCATATGAAAGCATGCATAATGTATTTGTAGGCATGATCCGTTTTATGACTGTTGTTGGTGTTTTTTTTGTTTTTTTTTTTATGTTATGTTATTGTATGAGAGTGTTATAATACAGAAAGTAAGAGATATAACTGATTGATGAATTTCCGACTGGCTTTACACTGTGTTTTTAACCACGTTTTCCATGTCTCAATATTGTACACTAAAGGTAATCGAAGATGAAATTGTACAGTCTTTCAGCCTTGATATATTGACTGCAGCCTTTGTTTTTGTTTTGTTTTTATTGTTACAGTTTGGATTAATCAAAATGTTGTCGATGTGACAGAAAAGCCTTTTTTTGGGCAGGGGGAAATTGCTTTGGCTCTGAACTTTGAGCAAGATTGTGGAGTTTATGAATTTGGTTAGGTTATTATTTGAATGAATGTTTATTTTTATTCACCAGCAATACTTTGAGTCAACTTTAGTGTTGACTTGATGCTCTCGTTCTCAAAATGCACGAGAGCGAATACAAGATGTCGATAAATTTCAGGGAAAAATGTTTTTTTGACTATTAATGTGGCACATTCTCAGTCAATGTGCCTTACCAGAGATTTAGCTGATCATTTCATTACGTTCATTTGTCATTTTTAACTTATGCTATTTATTCAAAGCTGTCTGTACAATTAATGCTGTAAAGAAGTTTTTGTGCACTTTCTTTTTTTATACTTTTTGTAATATTACCATTGATAAAATTTTGTATCTCAATTTTCCTCACATTGGTATTTTCATAAAACTTTTAAAGTAAATCTTGTCTTTGTCAGTTTTTTGGTAGTCTTCATTATATATATATTTTTTTAAATATGGGAAAACTGTAAGAAGAGAGAGGGATGTAGATTATGAAATATTTGTGTTATGCTGCGGACACACTCAAAGTCGGACATTCGACCTGTGAACTCGGGGTCTATCGATGGCGTCACTTCTAAGATGTCGGCTAACTGCCTTCAAGAGCATAAACGTAAAAACAAAGTTTATGTAATAATTCCTTACTTTTTGCTTTTCATCGTTGCTTTCAAACCGATTTTATGTTGTTTTTATTCTGTTTTGCCATATTTTACACAAAAACACGATGCTCTCGTTGTGTCGTGGCGACATCATGTGGTCAACATGTGAACGACGGTCTGAAGTGGGACGTTTCATTTGGGAGATTCCCAACCTCGTTTCCTAGTTATAAAAAATAGCACATGAACGCCCTCTCAAAGTCAAAATTTGAATGCGATGAGCTCGTAATCTCTTCTTCAGAAGTGGGAAGTAGGACATTTCGAATAGCGCGTGAAGGCAACCTTATAGACCAGAACTCGCCATTCTGAGGGGAAAAGGGCATAATGTTGAGTTTAAATCTTGCCATTCTATTTATATTGATATATAAACTCGGAATTGCGAGGGGGGAGGTCAGAATTGTGAGATAAAACTCATAATTACCTTCATTTGTTCTTTCATTCCGTGGCTTCCATAGACTGCTACTGAACAGTCAATTAGTCTGCCACGAAAGTGTGCTTTCTGTGTCTGAACACTAGGTGTTGCCGAAACTACACTGATCATCAGATATTCATCAGAACACACTTCTGATACCCATAATAATCCATCATACCTCAGAGTTTAATGATCAAAGTCCACAGTTAAGCTCATCATTGTATTGCTAGGCTACTCTTTTTCTTCTCATTTTTTTTTCTTATTTAATTTCATTTTATGTTAACCCATGTGTAGTTTTTGTTTTCTAATATTTGTTGTTTGCTGAGCATAGTGACTTTTTGTAATCTCGTTGTTTACAATGATAATAAAGCTCTATTCTATTTTGAGCTCTCCTGTTAAAGTTTATTTGATTGTTCTTTCATTTAAGAGCAAGGACCCCCAAATATGATAAAACCCTTGCAAAAATATAAAGCAATATATTTCCCTTAAGACTCATTTACTGTTTGATAAAATTCACAAAATATAGTGTCTCCTAAGAATAACTCACTTTTTTTCATTGTACTAAATATATGTAAAGTCAACAGGTTTTTTTTTTTTTACCCAGTCAAGTCACTTTTATTTATATAGAACTTTATATAATACAGAGTTTCAAAGCAGCTTTACAGTGATAACAGGAAAATAATGCATAACGGCTGTTGTTCAGCTGAAGTCAGTTCAGTGTTGATTCAGTTTGGTTGTAAAGTTAGAATGTTTTAGATTTATTTATTTGCATTTTTCACAATGGATATAGTTTATATAACTATATATATATTTATATATATATATAGAGAGAGAGAGAGTAAGCCAGAAGTGACATTGGCAATGAAAAAACACTATTCTGGAATTTAATTAAAAAAGGATATATCAACATTTAGAAATAAATACCCGCCTCTCCCCCCATTAAATCTATATGCAGATTTCCTATAGCGCCCCCTTACAGTCCCCCGAGGCTCTGCAGACCCCAGGTTAAAAATCACAAAGATCTAAATGAGTAAAATATTAATACAAAAGAAAAACATGAAGCTTTGATGGAGGGTCCACCTTTAAAACTCCAGAAGGCCGTTGGTTATCTTGTAGTCACATATTCTTCATTGCTCTGGAAGCTGACCTGAATGGTGCCTTTAGATGAGATTTGCTCCTCTTTCCGTGTTTGACACGTGAGAGTCAAAAACCAGATGAAAATAAAGATACCTAGAGGATAGGATGAAAAGAACAGTAATGCATGTCATTTTTCACTTTTTGTATTACATCTTTCATCACGAGCCCCTGCTTCACGGTGTTCATTTAGGGCCAAAAACACAAAACACCTGGCACTTCATGCAAAAAGTGTACAAAAGAAGCCTTTAAAAAAGTCTAAATGCTTATTTTTTTTTTTTGCAAAAGGCTCTTCTCTAGAGTACATTTTTCTGATTAACTACAGAGTTAATACACAATGAATGGCTTTTCAGAGATAAAACTAATGTTGCCTGACATTGTTCACAAGCGGTTTTACTGACGTCTTTCTGTGGTTGAAACCCTGATTTGATGAAATGATTATATGAGATTATATGTCTTGTCAGTCAGCGTGTTATCAGTGTCCTCTGTGGTCTGCAGTGTGAAGATGGACGTGTTGCGTGAGAACAGTGGCAATCGTGTGCGTTTCAGGCTGAATGCATGAGACTCGTTCAAACAGGCTAGTGCGCACCAAACGCGACGTGTTCTCAAATTAAAGGAGAAAATAAAGGCCTTTTTTCAATAAGGTGAAATAAAATAATAAAATGAAATTTTAGGGTGGCCAAATCAGATGTCAGTGATGTCAAGTGTGTTTTCAACAAACTCCTGGATTAACTTTGTTGATCCTGGAACAACATTCCAATCAACCAATCAGATTTGAGGGACAAGTTTACAGTGTATGTCAAGTCTACGGTTAGGGTTAGGGATAGGGATAGTGTTAGGACTTCATTTTGTTTTTGGACAGGAATGTTGTTCCAGGATCAACAAAAATCCAGAAATATATTGATCCTTGCTTGGCAAAATCCCCTCTCGCTCCGTCACGGCACAAGCAACACTAATACACGTGCAATTTTACTTCTGGTTTATTAAGGGAACATTTTGGGAATTAAATTTAATGAATGTATATTTACTGAGTAATCCACTATTTTGTAGAGGAGGGTCAAAATGACAATGTTCACCTGAAATTTGGAGTCAAATTACAGGGTGGTTAAAATGACTAGCAGCATCATTATTTTATTTTACACAGAGATTGGTAGGTCTGTTAGTTAAATCTGTTGCCTGCAGTGACTTAACCCTCTGGGGTCCTTCAGCCCAAATGGACCCGAAGCATTTAAATAAAAAATTATTAAAAATCATAGCTTCATCGGAATGGTCTGAAATTTGGTGACTTTGTTGGTACTTGGTATATGAACACCCAAAAAAATTGGGGAAAGGATTTGAATAGTCTAAGTGGTTGTAAAAAAAATAGTAACACTCAGGACCTTCGGGTCCAAATGGACCCCCATAGGAAATGAATGGGAAATTGGCAAAAATGTGAAAATACAGAGTTTTTTTGTGCGTACAATCTACAAATCAGCCACGATCCAGAAAAAAGCACACAACAGTGAATGGGTGAATCTATAAAACATCAAGAGTGCAAAACAGACACATCCACACACACACAAACACACTTTTATACACACAAACACACACACACACACACAGTTTTATACACACAAACATACTTTTATACACTTACACACTAATAAATTCAGATTATATATCTGTTTTGAAATTTTAAAATGCTCAGTGTGACCACCAGATGGCATCCATCTCATTTCAAAAATTGCTTTCATGAGGCCTAGGCTTGACTCTAAAATGAAATACAGCTTTAATAAAAAATAAAAATAAAAATATTAAAAAAGTATATTATATTCAATAGGAGAAAAAAGAGGTCATAATCACTGCATAAATATTAATTATAAATCATAAAATTATCTCAAAACACCAAAAAAGAAAAGAAAAATATGATAAAAAACAAGTAAAAAAAAAAACATTATGATTTTTTTTCATAAATATTAATCCCGCCCTTCAAGTCCATTTGATTCATTAAAGATATCCTTTTAGATTCTGGTTCTCAACAAACTTTTCTTTCGGCCCTCGATGGTTCAATCGCAGAGATATGGGGATCGTGATGCAGGTTCATGAGTAAATTGCTCAATTATACACATTTTCAGTGGCCAACAACTTATTATTTATGTTTGTCTTTCTTCAGAAAAAAATATAAACAAAATCATAAATTTGGTTTCTGAAATTTGGTTTTTGACATGGAATGACCTTAATTATTTTTTTGGCTTCATATGGAAATATGGTACACAATTGCAAAAAGTGTCCCACTCTAACACTAGCTGAAAAAAAAAAAAAAAATATATATATATATATATATATATATATATATATATACTTCTTTAACACATGCTTTTGTTTCAGTGAGCATTGAAACTAGTTCTTACCCTGAAAACTGTTGAGAATGGTGAACACATAGAGCGAAGTGAGACTCAATGGGCCGTGTGTGAAGAAGGCCAGACCCCACGGCACTCCCAGAACACAGCAGAGTCCCAGTAGAGACACCCAGTCTTTCCATGCCCTCCTCTGATGGTCTTTAACCTGAAGAGCCTGTGATCTCAACTGGCGCATCTTACCCAGCACCACCGCCAGCATAGCCATGTTGAAGAGCAACACCAGTCCCAGATAACCGTTCACTGTAATGTAGCTCACTATCGGTGTGGTCACCCAGCATCTACACCATAATAAAACACACACACGCTCAAGAGATGACGCAGAAAGAGAAGTGCAGTGTCATTTGAATAGATAGACCTTACAGATGTGTGGCTGTCATGTTTTCTTTATCCATGCTTAAGGAATATTTGCCATACGCCTTAGTCACACCGCATATCATCACTATAAACGTGGGAACACCTGTAGGAGAAGATTAATACAGTAAATAAATGTAATACACACTATGATCATTCACACTGAGACATCCAGGGGCCAAGCACCAAAGCTGCATAAGCACCTATTGCAATAATTGGCGTTCTTATTATTCTTCCGCTTCTTCTTATTATTTTTCCGCTCTGGAAGTCTATGGCCGCCCATAGAACTGCTTGCGGGAAACTTATGAAATTTGGCACACAGATAGAGAACAGTCTGAACATTAACCACAGCAATTTTGGAGTCTCTAACTCTATCCCTCTAGCGCCACCAACTGGCAAAATATTAACTTATGATTATGGCGTAAGGGCTGGAAATAAAAATATTTTTTTCCTCTGATTCCTTGGCTCACGATGATTCGATTGCATGCCCTGAAGGTGCTGAAAAAGTTTCTTGGCAGCGCCACCTTGTGGTCAAAAGCCATCATGAAATTTCCATAAATGCTATCTTTGGATTTAATTAGCTTATTGTAATGAAACTGGTCTTAATAGATTCCTTGGGTGGTGTCGAGAACATAGATATCAATTTGCCATAGTCGGCCGAACTTCCTGCCCACCATTTTGATTTTCTTTAAAAACATTATTTTTTCTAACTTATCCTAGGCCGTTCGTCCGATTTTCACCAAATTTGAGTCAGGTCACCTTTAGACCAAGCCGGCAAAAAGTTATGGATTTCGTGTCGATAGCCAAAACTGTTTTTGTGTAACGCATTAACAAAATTGATGGCATGATACCAAAACGACTCTGAGGCTGTATCTCTGCAATGCTTTGGCACGTTGACACCAAACTTTGTATATGTCATTGACACCTCACCACACCAATTTGGTCCACCTATTTACCGAAAGTGATAAAGCATTAAATCAAATTACTAAGGACTGTATTTATGATTTTTCAGGCATTTTGCCAAAAATGATCTTAATATGTCTTAAATTGCTCATTTGTACAGTTGGTTTGAATCTCCTAGCCATGATGGCATGACTTATCATGCTTTCTTTGTGCTTGGCCACATAATTGCTGCTATTTCATATTGCATTTAGATTTTTTTGTTTGATTCATCCAAATTTTGCCAAATTCTTTGACATTCCATGTTATTCAGTAAATTCCATTTTTATGACTGGATTCTGTGATTCCGTCCAATGCGTCGTGGAAATCGTAGGGCCCATGAGTAATGTGCACACTCACCTAAAGGATTATTAGGAACACCATACTAATACTGTGTTTGACCCCGTTTCGCCTTCAGAACTGCCTTAATTCTACGTGGCATTGATTCAACAAGGTGCTGAAAGCATTCTTTAGAAATGTTGGCCCATATTGATAGGATAGCATCTTGCAGTTGATGGAGATTTGTGGGATGCACATCCAGGGCACGAAGCTCCCGTTCCACCACATCCCAAAGATGCTCTATTGGGTTGAGATCTGCTGACTGTGGGGGCCATTTTAGTACAGTGAACTCATTGTCATGTTCAAGAAACCAATTTGAAATGATTCGAGCTTTGTGTCATGGTGCATTATCCTGCTGGAAGTAGCCATCAGAGGATGGGTACATGGTGGCCATAAAGGGATGGACATGGTCAGAAACAATGCTCAGGTAGGCAGTGGCATTTAAACGATGCCCAATTGGCACTAAGGGGCCTAAAGTGTGCCAAGAAAACACCCCCCACACCATTACACCACCACCACCAGCCTGCACAGTGGTAACAAGGCATGATGGGTCCATGTTCTCATTCTGTTTACGCCAAATTCTGACTCTACCATCTGAATGTCTCAACAGAAATCGAGACTCATCAGACCAGGCAACATTTTTCTAGTCTTCAACTGTCCAATTTTGGTGAGCTCTTGCAAATTGTAGCCTCTTTTTCCTATTTGTAGTGGAGACGATTGGTACCCGGTGGGGTCTTCTGCTGTTGTAGCCCATCCGCCTCAAGGTTGTGTGTGTTGTGGCTTCACAAATGCTTTGCTGCATACCTCGGTTGTAACGAGTGGTTATTTCAGTCAAAGTTGCTCTTCTATCAGCTTGAATCAGTCGGCCCATTCTCCTCTGACCTCTAGCATCAACAAGGCATTTTCGCCCACAGGACTGCCGCATACTGGATGTTTTTCCCTTTTCACACCATTCTTTGTAAACCCTAAAAATGGTTGTGCGGGAAAATCCCAGTAACTGAGCAGATTGTGAAATACTCAGACCGGCCCCTCTGGCACCAACAACCATGCCACGCTCAAAATTGCTTAAATCACCTTTCTTTCCCATTCTGACATTCAATTTGGAGTTCAGGAGATTGTCTTGACCAGGACCACACCCCAAAATGCATTGAAGCAACTGCCATGTGATTGGTTGATTAGATAATTGCATTAATGAGAAATTGAACAGGTGTTCCTAATAATCCTTTAGGTGAGTGTATATTGACTTCAGAATGTGAATTTGAACTCACCCCATCCCACCAGACTTAGTTTAAGCAGGTATCTCTTGATGTAGATGTTGAAGACCCGCACCAGCAGCAGGTACAGGTTAAAGCCCTCAATGGCTGTCCACGTGAAAGTGGCTAAAAGACACCAGTGTAGGAGAAGTCCTAGAGCCTGACACACTGAGCCAGTGTCTCCTTCACCCGAAAACCACACGCTGCACAAGAACGAGATGTGCAGCAAGAATAAGGAACCCGAGAGCTGAACATGAATGAAGACTGAATGCTCGCATTGCTTCTTCCTGTTGAGAGGATGGTGAGATGCATTATCTATTTATCTGTACCACAGAACATCTAATTCTGAAACTGTCAAGGGGCTTACCGTTGACACAGAAACATCACAATCATAAGGGCCGTGAATGCTATTGAAAGGGCTGAGCCAACGTATGAAATGTAGTTGAGATGGATTATATGAGACCCTTCAGGAATTTGAGGACTCTTTCAGAAACATTGAGGACAAAAGAGTGCATTCAAATCAGTCATAAGCAGCCATGTTTAATATGAAAGTAAATGTTTTTAAAAACAAAATAGGCCATCTTATGACTTACAATGAGCACTGCAAAAAAGCTCAGATGATTACAACTGCACACAAAGTCTCCGTTGTCAATGCTAGTCTCACAGCCGTCTGTGCTCCAGTTACCTGACAAACAGACACACACACACAGACACATTGCATATACACTAAGTCAATGCAAAAACATCTATTCGAATTAGAACTGTCTGTAAATAAGGACATTAGTTTCATAATGACTGTTACATAATACAGGTCATTCTCAGGAAACATTGACGTTGCAGATGCTATATCTGCTCCACTTTACACCTTCACACTACCTTTCCTGTCAACACAAGTGAAACCCCCCTATTAATCAACCAAACTTTAGTTGATGTGAAGCTTGGTCAACCAAATTTTATTTGGCCAGTTGGTTACAGATGAATAAATAAAAACTCCATGTGAAGCCATGCAGTCTGTGACGGACAGATTGTTAATAAAACTGGTCCATGTGGTAATTATGTCTGACAGAAAATCCAAACATTCGCCTATCATTCATCGACCTCAAACATGGCTTTAGCATTTAAAATATGTAAATATTAGTCTTAGCACTTATACTTAGCCACTAAATGTGTACATTAAACATTTTTAACCTGCATTTCTCTCTACCCACCTTATTTGTAACGTAAGAGCATGTGCTGCCATTTGTAACTTGAATGTGCGAATGTAACCAGAAAAAAAAAAGAAAAAAAAGTTTCTCTTTTCAACCATAGTGAACTTCTCAAAAAAGAATGTCCATGGGGTGAAATGTATAATAGTAATTAGGCTGGGTATGAGTAGTAATTGGGTTTGTTTTAAATAGTAATTGAGCTGGGTATGAGTAGTAATTGGGCTGGTTTTGAGTAGTAATTGAGCTGGGTATGAGTAGTAATTGGGCTGGTTTTGAGTAGTAATTGGGCTGGTTTGAGTAGTAATTGGGCTGGTTTGAGTAGTAAGTGGGCTGGGTATGAGTAGTAATTGGGCTGGGTATGAGTAGTAATTGGGCTGGTTTTGAGTAGTAATTGGGCTGGTTTGAGTAGTAATTGGGCTGGTTTGAGTAGTAATTGGGCTGGTTTTGAGTAGTAATTGGGCTGAGTAGTAATTGGGTTGCTTTTGAGTAATAATTGGGCTGGTTTGAGTAGTAATTGGGCTGCTTTTGAGTAATAATTGGGCTGGTTTGAGTAGTAATTGGGCTGGTTTGAGTAGTAATTGGGCTGCTTTTGAGTAATAATTGGGCTGAGTAGTAATTGGGTTGCTTTTGAGTAATAATTGGGCTGGTTTGAGTAGTAATTGGGCTGGTTTTCAGTAGTAATTGGGCTGGTTTTCAGTAGTAATTGGGCTGGTTTTCAGTAGTAATTGGGCTGGTTTTCAGTAGTAATTGGGCTGGTTTGAGTAGTAATGGGTTTGTTTTGAGTAGTAAGTGGGCTGGGAGTAGTAATTGGGCTGGGTATGAGTAGTAATTGGGCTGGGTATGAGTAGTAATTGGGCTGGGTATGAGTAGTAATTGGGCTGGTTTGAGTAGTAATTGGGCTGGTTTGAGTAGTAATTGGGCTGGTTTGAGTAGTAATTGGGCTGGTTTTCAGTAGTAATTGGGCTGGTTTGAGTAGTAATGGTTTTGTTTTGAGTAGTAATTGGGCTGGGTATGAGTAGTAATTGGGCTGGGTATGAGTAGTAATTGGGGTCTGGTTTTGAGTAGTAATTGGGTTAGTTTTGAGTAGTAATTGGGTTAGTTTTGAGTAGTAACTGGGCTGGGTATGAGTAGTAATTGGGCTGGGTATGAGTAGTAATTGGGCTGGGTATGAGTAGTAATTGGGCTGGGTATGAGTAGTAATTGGGTTAGTTTTGAGTAGTAATTGGGTTAGTTTTGAGTAGTAATTGGGCTGGGTATGAGTAGTAATTGGGCTGGGTATGAGTAGTAATTGGGCTGGGTATGAGTAGTAATTGGGCTGGGTATGAGTAGTAATTGGGCTGGTTTTGAGTAGTAATTGGGTTAGTTTTGAGTAGTAACTGGGCTGGGTATGAGTAGTAATTGGGCTGGGTATGAGTAGTAATTGGGCTGGTTTTGAGTAGTAATTGGGTTAGTTTTGAGTATAACTGGGCTGGGTATGAGTAGTAATTGAGCTGGTTTTGTTATACTGACCTGTTAACCCTGGCCTCAGAATGCAAATTGACGCTGGTGAAGCAGGACGCACATGTTCTCTTCTTAAGGCTGGTTCACACAGAACGTGTTTTTGCCGTTAAAAACATGAGATGCCGGTTAATGGAACGGGAAAAAAAGCACAAGGTCTAGAGACCTGTTTTTTAAAAATTGAACTTCTTTTAACTTGAGCACTACGTTTTTATAACGCTGTGTTGTGTGCGAGACGCTGCAAAAGACACGAGCGCAACAGTTAAAGACGTCCGTCTAGTGCGTGTTTACATTGAAAAACAATGGGAAAGTAGCCCAAATGGAGGTGAACTGATCCTTAACTGTTGTCCTTGCCATGAAATTTCTAATGGGCAGAATTAGATTAGCTACATAAAACCGGTGCCGTGACCCAGATAGAAGTAAGGTTTAGGAGAGTTATTTTACCTATACAAAAACTGTCTGTTCTTCTTTTTTATATTTTAAAGGTTCATTATTATAGTTTAGTATAATAAGGACCTCCAGGATACAGTATATTTAAGTGATTAAATTAATAGAAAGGTGTGACTAGTAAACTAATTGCTTAAATGAACGACTACCAGTTGACTATGAAAATCATTCGTCATGGGCAGCCCTATAAACTTTAACTACATTGAAAAGCATGCTATATATAACCATACAGTGGTTAAATAAGACCAAATTTGCCCTTCCTTCCCTAATCAAAAACCTCAGACTTGAGTTGTGTTCTATCAACTATCTGCTATTTTCTCACAGAACAACTTACTTGATCTGCATTCTTGTTGCATACAACCCTAAAGCATTTTGAATTGACACCAAACAAGAAAGTTTCATTTTTTTTAGTAGTGCACTCTTTTTAATTAAAAAATTAACCCAACGGCTGGGTTTGTCCACATTTGACCCAAAGTTGGGTTGAAACAACCCAGCATTTTTTTTAGAGTGTGTGTTTTAATAAAAGGAACCAGAATTTAAAGAATTTAAATGAATTCCAAATTTACAAAATATGACGGGGCTGAAATAATGCGCTTTCACAAGATTGTGATTACATTTTGTGTACTGGTGTAATAGTTTAACAATCAACCATTGAAAAACCCATATATTTTTGACGACTAATGTGTATATTAGGGGCTTCATCCATCCTGTTACTTTGGGCCTGAGGTGGGAAAAAAAAATTTCTTCAAATATATATTTTAACAAAAAAAAAAAAAACACACACACACACACGCAACTTGCACTGCTTTAGAGATTGACCTAGATGCTAAAGGATAGTAAACTTGGTTCAGTTTATGTAGAGAGGTTTCATGCTTAATAATACATTTTTCGCTCTGAAGATGGTGTGAAAATCATACTGACCTCTGCCATTTCCATCGAGATGCCAGTAGACACAGAGTCCACTTTCATTCTGCAATAATGAAGTTGCACTTTTACAGAAGTGAAAACTGGCAGTTGTTTAAAAGAAACCACACGGTCAAGCTGTATTTTTATGGTGTGAAAGCATCTCACCTCACTGCTATTCCTGAATCTGAGCTGAACAGCCTGAGAAAGGTTGCGAACTTCATTCTTACCAAGCCAAACTCCCAACACGTTTCGCCCATGCAATACTGGGTCTGTCTTATTTATGTAATTTCCCTTCTGTGTCAATACCAAAATGACAAATGATCCCAAGAATAAACCAATGTTATGAAATGCAGATGTACCACAAAGAAGATAAATTCACATTTAATTTGAAAAAAAGTTTTTGGAGGACAGAGATAAAGTACTTCTGTGTACCTCGGTGTCTGAACTGCTGCTCACCCTGAAGATGTTCTCATTGAGAAGAGACACAATCAAATTCACATCTGTATCATTGTTTCCCCCCTGTTCATTTCTGCTCCTTTGTAATGCTTCGGAGGAGATGTTGATTATATATCCTTTTTCTGTATCCAGTGTTGCCTGCAAAAACAAAGGTGAAGACAACATCCAGATTGATCTTCCTGTATTAAAACCATATTGACACTTGAAGTTCTGTTTCTTGTTTTACACGTTTATAAATCAGAATACACAAATATACATGTGTGTGATGGTACTATTCAAACATGGACTTTGTCTGTGGATTGTGTATTGCATGTTAAATCATGTTTAAAAAGTATATATTTAGTCTTACCTCTGAGGAGTCAATTCTTTTAAAGAAATAGTTTGGCCTATATACTCGCGATTTGGATTGGTTGCATTGTCTCATGTCCCGTTCTATACACCTGTTAAAAACATACTTTATGCGTTTAAGCATTATAAACTGACAGCAAGCTTTCCGTTAATACATTTCAGCCCGTTCTCATCCTTTGGCGTCATACATGTGACGCTTTGTACATTTCGTTGAAATCTTACGCACATGGCATCCTTTATGTGGCATTGAGCTCTGGTTGGGGGGGGGGGGGGGGGGGGGGGGGTTAAGTGTATGTGTTTGTAGATGTCAAGCGCTCCCGAGAACCCCAGTAACCAGAGCGGCCTGAGCATAAAATTAGGGGTTTAAAGGTATGAAGTGTTTGTTTATTTAAATGTGTACATTATTTAGGTATTATTATGATTCATTGATTTAAAGGGATACTCCACCAGTTTTTCTTATTAAACTATGTTATTCCCTTAACTAAGACGAGTTGATACATACCTCTCTCGTCTCAGTGCGTGCACTATATCGCTCTGTATTGCCGCAAAACTATGTTAGCACTTAGCTTAGCCCATGCATTAAATATGGGCCAAGCAGAGAAGCGACCAAACACTTCCACGTTTTCCCTATGTAAACACAGTTACTCGAGTAGTGTAACTTGACCTGGGCTGGTGACACAAAATAAACCGTTGCGCTTTTCTAAGCGTTTAAAATTGATGACTATATTGTATGGCGGAATACCATAACAAGTGCTTTTGAGCACTTCGACTTGGCGCAATAATATCTTCACCCGTGAATAGTCCTCTTACCGGCTCCCGCTTCCTCTCCCCCTCCCTCTGACATTTCCGTCAATACAACCAACGTGACATGCGCCGGTAGTAGTAGTTTGAGCGGAGTTGACGAAGTAACAGGTTGTTGGAAGCTAGTTTGTGTACAATAATGGTTAAAGCGTGCATCGTAAAGGGTTGTGAAAATAAGGAGAATGTACATAGTGCTGTCATTTTTCACCGAATTCCAACACACCACATACAGCGGAGAGCTTGGTTAGCTGCTTTGAACAAGAATCCCAAAACACCATTGATGACTCTGAAGAAGTGGCGTGTTTGCTCCGTACATTTCACAAAGAAGGACTATACCTGCACAGGAACACGCCTAAAGGATGAGGCTACACCAACAATATTCAGATCACTTACAGAAAGCCCGTGGTCTTTCGCCAGCTCCGGTCTGTTCTGGATCATATCTTTCTTGCCTCTCACGGTCCACAAGAGCTAATTCCTCCTCCGTGTACTCGGGTTCAAACAGATATGGCTCTGGGTCTTCTACAAAGAAGTCATAATCATCTACAAAGTCTGCCATTGCAAATGATCTGCAGTTTGCTAATAGCACAGGTAGTAAAAGTCACGTTGGTTGTATTGACGGAAATGTCAGAGGGAGGGGAGAGGAAGCGGGAGCCGGTAAGAGGACTATTCACGGGTGAAGATATTATTGCGCCAAGTCGAAGTGCTCAAAAGCACTTGTTATGGTATTCCGCCATACAATATAGTCATCAATTTTAAACGCTTAGAAAAGCGCAACGGTTTATTTTGTGTCACCAGCCCAGGTCAAGTTACACTACTCGAGTAACTGTGTTTACATAGGGAAAACGAGGAAGTGTTTGGTCGCTTCTCTGCTTGGCCCATATTTAATGCATGGGCTAAGCTAAGTGCTAACATGGTTTTGCGGCAATACAGAGCGATATAGTGCACGCACTGAGACGAGAGAGGTATGTATCAACTCGTCTTAGTTAAGGGAATAACATAGTTTAATAAGAAAAACTGGTGGAGTATCCCTTTAAGTGATGAATGTGAATTGATTTATTTGTGTGTGTTTTTAACAGATTGCCTCGGTTTTGATTTAATTTGTCCTATTTGGTGGAATGATTTGGTTATGTAGAGTTGATTTATTTTGAGCTTTTTTTAGGGCCGTCAAATGATTAATCACGATTAATCACATCCAAAATAAAAGTTTTTTTTACATAATATATGTGGGTGCACTGTGTATAATTATTTTGTATATATATAAATACACACACATGCATGTATATAAAATATTAATTTATATATAAAATATTTATATATAATATAAATTATATATAAATCTATATACAGTATATACATGAAAATATTTCTTAAATATATACAAGCATGTGTGTGTATTTATATATATAAAATAATTATACACAGAGCACCCACATATATTATGTAAAAAAAACTTTTATTTTGGATGTGATTAATCACGATTAATCATTTGACAGCCCTAGTTTTTTTTAGTTTTCTTTCTTTAAAGAAGTTATGCTTTATGCTTCTTCTTCTGAGAATGGCTGTTTAAACCCAGTTTTAGAGAATTTGATAATAAAAGCTGTATTTGTGAAGATATTTTTGTACGTTGTGATCAGTCTAAGCTCCCACACAACATTTAGCATCAATATGAGACACAGAACCCAAGGCGTCATAGAGGTGACGCTCGTCTAAATCCAACGCACATGGCATCGTTTAGCGTGAATATGAGACGCAGATCCCAAGGCGTCATAACCGTAACCCGACCCCAGACCTAAACCTACCCATAACAGTGCGTGTTATATTGACGCTAAAGGATGCAATGTGCGTAAGATTTCGACGAAATGTCATATGGCGTCACCGATATGACGCCAAAGGATGAGAATGCGTTGTACATTTCTGACCTCTCAAAATGTTGAAATCATTTGAAAACTTTTCACTTGTTAAAATAACTTACAGTGGAAGTGGAACTTCTTTATTTTCCATACATTTGTCTGGAACCTCATGACAAAACAAACGCGGACCTGTAGAAACTGATGTCATAATATTGGTGGTGAATTGTCTTTGTAATACATGAAAACCCAAACCGTAAAATTCAAACACATATTCACACAGATTTATAAAAACTCTTACATACTAGCAGTGCTGGGTAGTAACTTATTACATGTAAACTTGATTACGTAGTCTTCTTGTATTTAGATGCTTGTTATTAGATTACATTACGTTTTAAAATACTCAGTAATCAGACTAGTACATTTTTTATTGATTACATGATTACGTTATTCTCACATTGGCAGGGAATTAGAAGGGAGCGATACCTATGCATGTCATATTCATTATTCATTCTTTCAACTACTTTTTTATCCTTCAAATTTTTCTTTCTAAAAAAGCCTACTGCTTATATTTACCTTAAAAGAAGCATTTGATCTCTGAAATATATCTATATATCTGCATATCTAATCATCTCCTGACAAACACATTGATTATTATTTGAATTATCACTCAATTACTGAGTAATTTATTCATGTATTACTGTTTCTGGAAGGCTTTTATGTCTTTCAAACATTTGTACATTCAAATGTACAAATTCACGTCATTTCGTATGCAATGCAGGGATTTCTCAACTTATATGTCAGCTGAACTTCTTGACCGAATATATTTACTTGAAGTACCCCATGAGTAATCAAAAGTAATCAAAAAGTTGTCAGATTTTATCACCGCAAATGTGTAAAGTAATGGATTACATTTCTAACTACATGTTTTGTCATGTAATTTGGAATCAGTAAATGACTAAGTAATCTACCCAGCACTCCATGCTATATCACAATAATGTAAACATAATTATTATTAACATTTGTTGAGTTAAAATAACTTGATTATACTCCTAACTGGGAGCTGAAATTGATACTCACAAGTTCCAGTCCATATCGTGTTGGAAAATATCCAGAGAACTAAACAATATAAGCCTCTCATTTCTCTTGTTGAATGCTCTATTCCTCAAGAGTGTGTGTGTGTGTGTGGCATCTGTCCGCCACTTTGAAAAACTGTCATGTGATTCCTGTGGCTTCCTGTGCAAGCTGTTAACTTAATTTCATTGCAAAGTAAGGAACCATGACACATTTACCTAGAAACTTACCAACAAAAACCTCTATGTGATCTTAAGGTGAAAACAATCCAGACATAATAACTGATTAAATAATAATAAATAAATAAAAATCTTTATTTACACTAAGAGTAAAATAGCCCGTCTTGCAGTCTCGCTGGACTGTTGATAGTGTAGGGGTAAACCATACACAAAAGTTTTTATAGTATATCAAAAATATTGAAATATATTTGCATTGTTGTTCACTTATATTTATCATTTTGAAATATATTCTCAAATATAACAAAAATATATGATGTTAAGTGTGCAATATATTTACATTTATAACGTGATGTACAATATATGACAAAATATATGGTCATAAAATGTTTAGCTTGCTATTATAGCTTGACACACAGCTATAATAAATACTGTACTTACATTTAAATGACTGCAATGTAAAATGACAGATAGTTGCTTTCCTATAGGACTATTAGGCCATATTAGGTGGCACGTGCCTAACACTATACGTGCAATTATTAGATTTATTGTTGTTTTATTGACATCTTTCCTGAAGTCATTTAAATATTGAAAATATGCACAATATTTATGATGCAAGTATAAAAGTGACACTCCAACAGTGAAGTACACTTAAACAATAGATAGAACTCAGTGTTTAACACTGCACACACACTATTAAAGCTGCAGTCCGTATCTTTTCCTCTTTGTCGCCATCTCTCTGTTCGAAATCTGTAACTGCAGTGATTCGCGGAATTATTATCTTTACGTGGGTTGTAAATCGGCATGAAACAGCGCGGATGAACAGTGCTTTGAGGCGAGTGCTGCTGTCAGTCACCGCGCTGTGTGGATACTGTCATACAGAATCACAGATTCACTTTTTGAAAGTTTGACCAACATAAGAATTTTCATAAGAAAATGTCTTCTGAACAAGTAAGTAAAATCCATTTTTGTTCTGACCAACTAAGGGGGAAAAAGCATTCGACATGATAAGCTTCGTTAGATTTAATCAACGCGATTTACAGCAACCGTGCAAATTATAGCCTACTTTGTTCTCAAATTGTTCATGTTAACAACATCAGCATTGCGTGACTAATGTTAAATTTAATGTGTTTTATGGTTAGCAGCGTAGTTCAGAATTCATATTCTCCATAATAGCAAAACGAGAAAGGCACAACAAAGGAAACTCCATAACTGTGTGAATTAAGAAAACGTACTGTTACACGATTGAACTATTGAAATGTCTTACTTGTTCAGCAGAAAAAAGCCGTCTCTTCTTCCGTTTCGAACCCCTTCAAAACACGGAGTTCACGCACTCTTCAAAAGCCCCGCCGATGTTTAAATCCTTGTGTTCGCATGAGACGGTTTCTTTCTCTTTCTCTAGCCACCTTAAATCCGAAGTACGAAGTCTTTTGGGTTTTATAACTGGTGAATCTCCAGTTGACACTGATGATTGTTGTTTGGATCTTTCTGGATGCCATAAGTTTAATTATGTAAAGTGCTGCGAGAAAAGCCTATAGGGACGTCCCGCGTGACGTCACGCCATTTGGAGCAGCCATCTTGACGGTATAGAAAATGCTAAACCGCCGGTGATAATACAGCTCGTCGCGAAATATTCCTATCATGCCCGAGCGATGCTGTGCATTTGGATGCGATCAGATACGTGATCATACAAAAGGAATATCTTTATACCGTATCCCAAAAGAAACAAAATGGAGAAAAGTGGTTGGCGGCAATTAACAGGCAAAACGCATACATGCATTCCTAGATCAGTTAATTCGTTAGGCCTATTATCACATTACATTCTTTCGTTTTCAAATACCAAAAGCTGATCTTGTATTTTATTTGACACTTCTTATAAATCGTTAGAAACACAGGTTGAGACAGTCTCAATGACAGTTTATCATACTACAGTGACAGTCAGTGATTGTATAAAAAAGTATATATAGGTATTTCGTTTTTCTTGGATCAAACTAGATTAAACAAATTCATTAAAGATACACTTAATTAGGGTGACCAACAGTCCTGTTTTCCCAGGACATGTCCTGTTTTTACGTCCTGTCCTGGCTGTTTTTTATAAAGTGATGAAAATGTCCTGGTTTTTAAAAAATTGCTTGTAAAGATCAGCTCTACAGCAAAATATAGATGGGCAAACAAGGACGAGGAAGAAAAACAGGATAAAGAGGAAGAAAACTAAAGATATAAATACATTTTGTTAGTTCGTTTTTGTAAGTTTGTGAGAGCTATTTTTGTTCAATTTGGAGGTATTTCTTTTAGTTATTTATATATTTATTTTTCTAATACAGAAGAGACATTATTTCTATCATTATTTCATTGATTATTTTTTAAACCTGTCATAATAAAACATGTTGAGTAACCTCTGAGAAGCCTATCTTAATTTGTGTCTTGTAATATAACAATTTTCTATCCATACAGAGGAGGCTACTTTAAATGTATTAATTAATAAGGCATCTTTGAGTAAATTTCGAGTGTCATTTGAGTAGCCTATCTGTTTGCCGGGCCGAGTGTCCTGTTTTTTGGTAATCAAAATATGCACTTAATCTTGTTGGTGATTTTGTTTTGTGTTTTCCCCTGTAAACTCAGTTTAAAAATTGTAGGTACTATAATTTGATGAAAAAAATACATTGACCAACCTTTGCGGTGATGATTGAAAAATCATTTTCTTTTAATGAAGCTCCGGTGTAGCGTGATGGGAAGTGAATAAGGTAGCTGTAATGTCACCGAACTCAATGTCAGGAAGTTTTTCTACACATTTAATGCCTGTAAAAAGAACTTGTGGTGCTTCATATGGATATATGATTCCTAATTCCTTTATCTTCCTCTTGTATATTTATTTTTGTGATGCTAATAATAAGTGCGATGACATGACGTGGTGGGGGAAAAAATCGATTCTGTTCAGTATCGAGATATTTTGTACCATGATTTTGCACATGCAATTATATCAATACTGTAGCGCAAAGTATTTCAATATTTAGGCTAATTATACTAATAATTATATTATTAGTATATTAATATACTAATAATTATATTATTAGTATAATATACTTATAATATATATTACCCACGGCAATGGATCTATGAGTAGCCGACGGATGTATTCCGTCAAAATGGCTGACAAGCGGCTAGGGGTCACGTGACTGGGAGATCCCTATACATCTAAACATCTCGTCACGCGCAGTATAGCCGGCTAGCCGAAACTCCTTCTTTGTGTGTACGGGTGTGACGTAATGACGCAAAGACATGCTCGAATCTCCCGCGGAAACCCACCAGTACCACTGGAATTAAAATCATTATTACAAGCTAACCGTTTTGAAACTAGCTATGGCAAGCAGATAGTTTTGACCACTGGCAGAATAATTTTTTTTTAATATAATTATTTTGGATTATTTTTAACTTAAAAAAGTTACGGACTGGAGCTTTAAATAACTGTATTCAAATTTTCTGAAAATATATTTCAAACGAAACCATTTGCAAAAGTTAAAACATATGAACATATATGTTGTTAGCAAATATATTCACATACAAATATATTCACATATTTAAATAAAATATATTAAAAATAAAATAAAAATATATTTAACTAAAATATATTTATTGTGCCAATTTCAAAATTTCAATTTTTTTAATTTCAAAAATATATTCTGAAAATATCTTTCAAATATATTTATTTTGTGTATGGGAATGCGCGTGGCAGCAAGTTTGGTTGCAAATCAATCTTATTTCGAATTCGCCTTTTGCCAAACTCGCTCTACTCCCTTTTCCCATCACAGATCAGATCGGAAAGGCTTTTTTTAATCCCCATAAGGCGGCATCCATTTAATAATTTTAATAAATATAATAATTTACACTCTATGCTGTTATTGTATACCATTTAATGTATAACAAAACTGAGGTTCAAAAATAGTATCTCCCACTATTTATAAGTATAAATAGCTTTTAACTACTTATTGCAAGGAAATACTGCAATTTTCACTTAGTTTAAATAGCATATTGCTAAGAAAATATGATATTTTCACTTAAACAGTAAATAGCAATAGCCGCTGCCTTTGTTCCAGGTAGCCACATGTATTGCTTTAAAATAGCATTGTTGTAATGTGTTTCCAATATAGGCTGAAACATTCATTTTACACTTATAGATTTATTAATAAATTCAGCAACAATTGTTTTTATTTACAAATCACAGCTTTTCCTATATTTATTAGATATGATGAAGTAGCTATACGATGAGATATGATAGATTAGATCAAGGTTTTAGTATTTCAAAGAGGGAACTGCATTTCTTTAATGCGATGAACTGAAATTAGCGCAAAGGAAGTACTCTTTAAAAAAAAAAAACAGAGAAAAACACACTGGTCATGACAACACTTTCTGAGGGTTGCATGTGGGTCATCGGCTGAAGATATTTACAGCTGGAACATGTCTTCTTGTTAAAGGTTTTAGTAAGAAAACTCCTCATTTAGAGATGTCCACACTGGATTTAGTCTTGGATTGAGCTGTTTGCGCTCTGTTTTTCCTCATTGTACCACACATCCACAAAAAGATGTAAAACCCTGTAAACAAACAAACTTAATGTTTCAGTCCATCATTTTTTGGTATGATCAAAGTTTCCCTTCCCCTTCTCTTGAGTCTTCACGTCACATAATTACTTGTGGATTAACAAAGAACCTGTACTTTTGTCTTTCACTTCCTCCTAGACTATGTCGTGACTTTAAAGTAACCCTTGTTCTGATCCTAACCATGCTTTGGTAGCAGAAACAAATAGAGTTTCAGATAATGACGCATCTTTTTAATTTGACAAGTATTTCTTCCTTTTTTCCACCACCGCTACCATGGAAAATGTATATATTTTGCATCCAGACATGGGTCAATGACATGATTTGAAAACACCCTTTTCTATGATGAGCATGTTTTAAATTCTGTATTCAAATTTATTTGGTATTTTTTTGGGAGGGAGCATAAAGTCCAAAAATATCATACAATAATAATAAAATAAAAATTATACTCTGGGAACTAAAACCTTAAAGGGATAGTTCACCCAAAAATGAAAATTAGCCCATGATTTACTCACCCTGAAGTCATCCTAGGTGTATATGACATTCTTCTTTCAGACGAATACAATCAGAGTTATATTATAAAATGTCCTGGCTCTTCCAAGCTTTATAATGAGAGTGAATGGGTATATATATATATATATATATATATATATTTATTTTTAGTTATTTTAGTCGATCAAGTTATAAATATGGATAATTTTCTTACACTAACGCATCACTTCTCTTCAGAAGGCCTTTATTAACCCGCCAGAGCCGTTTTGAGGACTTTTATTATGGATGGATGCGCTTTGATGGACTTCCATAAAAAAAACAAAAAAACATTCACTCTCATTATAAAGCTTGGAAGAGCCAGGGCATTTTTTTATATAACTCCGATTGTATTCGTCTGAAAGAAGAATGTCATATACAGGATGACTTCAGGGTGAGTGAATCATGGGCTAATTAAAATTTTTGGGTGAACTATCCCTTTTTGTAGTTTGACCATAATGATATATATTTGAAAGACATATGTCTGCCAAATAAAAATCATGTGGCGTGACAAACAAAGACATGCAGAAAAAAATAAAACAGGAAACACTACGTTCACACTGAATATAATTCAGATTTATTGCTCAAATCCATTTTTTTTTATAGTTTTGTTTGGCTGTTCACATTATTTTTTAAATGTTGCCAATGTCAGATTTGAGTGTGAACAGGTCACGATCTTGAACCGCATGCGCAATAGAACAATAACAAAGGGTTTGTCCAAATACCCTCAATTGCGGGCTTAGCCAGTGAGAGCGTGTGGACGCAACAGGAAGTAAGTGCGCAAGACTGACCGAGGCCTTAAGAACATCAAATCTTGCGGTCTTGGCCATTGAGAGCGCGTGGACGTGACAGGAAGTAAGTGTGCAAGACTGACCGAGGTCTTAAGAACACCGAATCTCAGTTCCCTTAATGCACAATAAAACCCACACAGTGATGCATGATGAGAAAAGCTTAGCCTCGAGGGTTGGTGTATCCCATCATGCGTCATGTTCAGGATCTCACGTGCCCAGAAATCGTGAGATGTTGAGGAAAACATTCCACTGTAAATTAGACTAATTAGGTATTACATTTGGTAGTAAAACATAAAGCGTTTCACATTTTATTGGCGCAAATCAAATTTTGGTCACACTTTAGTTTAGGGTCCAATTCTCACTATTAACACCGATTTTTGCCTCAATAAACTCCTAATTACTGCTTATTAATAGTTAGTAAGGTAGCTGTTAAGTTTAGGTATTGGGTAGGGTTAGGGATACGGTCATACAGAATAAGGCATTAATATGTGCTTTATAAATACTAATAAACAGCCAATATCCTAGTTATATGTATGCTAATAAGTAACTAGTTAAGACCCTAAACTAAAGTGTTACCAATTTTTTTGAGTATTTTGTACAACATTTCTAACTGCTTTTTATTGCTTAATTTTGGAAGCACCACAATTACTAAATTGTCTGTTTAATAGGGACTGCTGAACAATAGACATTTAGAAGTTTATTTTAAAATACCAAATATTGTGAATTAAAATAAAGCTCTGTAAACACTTCAATTTTTACAAAACTATGAGTGTGTTCCATTGGGTAATCAAAAGTTCTACACACACGGTCTTCACGCGTTCTTGAATGCTTAGGCCAAGAATAAATGTTTAATCTGAGTAGACATGTGGTCAAGTCAAGTGAGATGGTCCTCACTGCAGAACATGAAATCCAGGGGGAGGAGTCGGATCCAGATCCAAAACCTCCCACCTTACATATACCTAAACCTACCCATCTCCACCCCCTGATCCCTAAACCCACCCCTAATCCCTAAACCCACCCCTAATCCTACCCATCTCCACCCCCTGATCCCTAAACCCACCCCTAATCCTACCCATCTCAACCCCCTGATCCCTAAACCCACCCCTAATCCTACCCATCTCCAGCCCCTGATCCCTAACCCCACCCCTAATCCCTAAACCCACCCCTAACCCTACCCATCTCCACCCCCTGATCCCTAAACCCACCCCTAATCCCTAAACCCACCCCTAATCCTACCCATCTCAACCCCCTGATCCCTAAACCCACCCCTAATCGCTAAACCCACCCCTAATCCCTAAACCCACCCCTAATCCTACCCATCTCAACCCCCTGATCCCTAAACCCACCCCTAATCCTACCCATCTCCGCCCCCTGATCCCTAAACCCACCCCTAATCCTACCCATCTCCACCCCCTGATCCCTAAACCCACCCCTAATCCCTAAACCCACCTCTTATCCTACCCATCTCAACCCCCTGATCCCTAACCCCACCCCTAATCGCTAAACCCACCCCTAATCCCTAAACCCACCCCTAATCCTACCCATCTCCGCCCCCTGATCCCTAAACCCTCCCCTAATCGCTAAACCCACCCCTAAACCTACCCATCTCCGCCCCCTGATCCCTAAACCCACCCCTAATCCCTAAACCCACCCCTAATCCTACCCATCTCCACCCCCTGATCCCTAAACCCACCCCTAATCCCTAAACACACCCCTAATCCTATCCATCTCAACCCCCTGATCCCTAAACCCACCCCTAATCGCTAAACCCACCCCTAATCCTACCCATCTCCGCCCCCTGATCCCTAAACCCACCCCTAATCCCTAAACCCAACCCTAATCCTACCCATCTCCGCCCCCTGATCCCTAAACCCACCCCTAATCCCTAAACCAAGCGTGCCGCACAAGCCCTCAAAAGTGAAGCCAAAACGTCTCGATGGCCCCCCAGTGACCGGTCCTAGTATAGCTCATAAGCCCCGCCTCCCCATGTTATTCAACATGGGGTGGTTTGTGAGACCAACAAAAATAATTAAATTACACTTCACATCTTTTTTCTAAAGATAGTTTCTATCATTTACTGTTGTTTCTATCACGTTGATGTAATTTCAAGTGTTTGTTTTTAAAATAAATTAGTTTTTAGTTAGTTATTTGATGCTATAAAAACGGTGCTGTGACATCATGATTGACAGCTGTGATTGACAGGTTCTCTGTGCGAAGTAGTAACTGAAGCACCAACGGACTTTTTTTCATAATGTTGACTATGTGGTTAGTAGTTGTATTTACCTTATTTTAACGAGGTACTGCAATCAGCAGACATCATTGGAGAGGAACGGAGCAGACAAGGCCACTTAAGAAAAGTGCAGGGCGTGTGCTTGCGATTGATTCAACGAGCGCGAGGGCGGGGCCTTGATTTCGAGGCTTTACTTCCTGCTCGCGACTGCGCATGACTGGTCCTGAAAACGCTACTGCGCAGACTCAAGTTCCAATATGTCAGCGCCATATCGGGACTCTGGCGGCTTCAGTTCTCTCCAATGGAAAAGAGCGAAGGGGCGTCGTCCATCTTTTTTTACAGTCTATGCCCTAAACCCACCCCTAATCCCTAAACCCACCCCTAATCCTACCCATCTCCACCCCTTGGATCTTGATCCGACTCCTCCCCGTGGATCTCATGTACTGCATTGAGGTGCTACTGAGTCAAGTGGAAAGACCACAAGTGTGGGTATTTGGACAGGCCCCAAAACGGAGCGCAGCACAGAATTATATAGAAGTAAACACGGAGGTTACTGAAGTCATCATTAAGGGGCCCGAACATGATAAAAAAATAAAATAAAAAAAACAGTCAAACACATCTGTATAGTGTTTTTTTTTACAATGAAAAACAATGGAAAGGTTGCGTGTATGTTGATCTAGAGTGACGTAAAAGTCGTATGAATTCTGATGTGACTGTTCAGACTGAGGTCGCACTGCAAACCATCAGACCTGTATCTGATTTAGGACCTCATATGGAAGTGGCCCAAATCAGAATAGAAAAGATCAGATTCCATGTTGTTTGTGCCGGTCACACTGTTAAGAAAACCCCCAGATCTAGGTTGGATATGTGCAACAAAAAAAAAGAAAGAAAAAAAAAGCAGATTTTGGACACTTTTGCCTGTACTCTGATGGAGAGGACTCTCGAAAAATGTATAATATTTATAATTAATGAAATTTCTAAAAATTAATTTGATATTGACAGTGGTCAATATAGATGTGTACTTCACATGTATTCAAGATGTAACGCAAATATGTTAGGACTTTATACCTGATGGTTAGACCATATGACATTTTAGAGTCATTAGATTTAACCTAATGGAACCACTATGAATACTAAGTGTACTGTACATTTAACTTGGCATGTGTTTTAAACTACAAGATTTATCGTGGACACTCATATGTACTCTATCAATCGTGTACCCTAACTAAACATACCTTGCATTGAGTTAAAGATGCAGAACAGGTAGAGTATAACGTAGTTGGTAAATCCAATGCTGAAGAAGGCCAAACCCCATGTTGTTCCCATCAGAGACATGAGGCCCAACACTGTGCCCGCGTCCTTCCAGACTGGCATCTTGCCATGCATGCTGCCCACATGTCGCAGCTTAAAGATCTGTCTGGACACTGTGATTAGGATTCCTAAATTGAACAGGAATATGACGGTGAAGTAGGAAAGGTTCACGCCATACAGGACGGAAGGCTCTTTGATCCAGCAACTGTACGAAAGAAAGGTTTGCAATGTAAGCATGTACTTCATACATTTGATGGACTGACGTAGAGGGCAACATAATTTAACTACATTTGCCTGTATCTAATGCAAATTTAAAATGTGAAGACTTACATTGCATTTGTTTTATTAGTGTCTGATAATGTCATCTCATTTTTGCCATAAAAAGACTTAGTCTTATAAACCGACAACAAGGCTCCAACAACAATAGCAGGGACTCCTGTCAAGAGGAAAAGATTGCAGGATAAACAATTTCAAGATAGCATTTTGTATTTGTTTTTTTATGAATTTAGTTCCTTCACAAATCCGTCTATTTGTGTGTTTTTTTTTTAAACATTACCCAGTCACATTTATCATTGCTTTGCAAAATGTTGCTTCTGAAATCCAGTCATTCCAATCAGATTCTCGCTAATGCAAATTCGCTGCACTGACCAACAATTTATGGGATAATTTTTATTTTTGGGTGAACAGAACTATCCCTTTAAGAACATATTATGTTTTGAGATCAAATTTTGCAATTGAGTTTCCAATTTTGCAAATTTCCCTTTAATGCTTCCTGCATGTTTATTAGACATTAGCTGCTATGCTATTTCAGCCCGATCTCATGAAAGTGCGTATCTATACCACGAATGTTATTTCTCGTGCCATTTATACGCCAAAACTGGTTTTTGCGTGCATATGCTACGCAGTTTTCGCGTGCATATGATACGCACTTTATGGCGTGTAATAAGCAGGATTCCCTCACCCCCTGACCCCCCTAATCCTACCCAAGGGTTTTCAGTGCGTAGCATATGTACGCAAAAACCAGTTTTGGCGTATAAATGACACGAGAAATAACATTCGTGGTATAGATACGCACTTTCATGAGACTGTGTTGGCTATTTACATTACATTTAGTCTTGATGCTCACCCCATCCGACCAGGGACAACTTGACCATGTAGTGTCTGATGTAAATGTTGAACACTCTGATGAGAAGAAGGTACAGGTGCAAGGCTTCAATAGCCATCCATGTGAAACAAGACAGCAGGCTGTAGTGTATCATCACAGCGATAAACACACAGAATCCGTCCATTCCCAGTGTGGCAGTCCATTCGCTGAGCATGAAGCTGATGTTGAGGAGAAACAGAGCGCCACTCAGAGACACATGGATGCTGCTGGACACTTCTGCCCTTGCGATCCTGAGAAACACACACACAGTATATATTGAAAACTCTGAGCAAAAATGGATGTAAATGAAGCATTATTGGCTTTGAAGAGTTTATATTCACACTTTTTATATCAATGTAAGTTATGCATGGAATAATGTGAATCAAAGCACAGATTATATGCATTTATATGAAAACAGAAGGAACAGCACCTGATGAACATGAACGACAAGACAGTGGAAGCAGAAAAGAAGGCAGACAGACCGCAGCCTACGTAGCTGATGGACGACAGAATTTTCCACTGCTCTTCGGATATCTCCAAGTTAGACTATTCAAAGAAGGTAGATACATAAGAGGTGGAGTGAAATTTAAACCATATCAGCTGATTATTTTAAACTGCTACACTGAAAAAAAAAAATCTTTTTTGTTGGTTTAACATTAAAATGTAATTTACTTTGGTTGTCTTAAAATTGAAATTAAATTTATAAATTGAGTTCATTGAAATTAACAATTTGAGTTAATACAACAAAGGAGATTTAATAAATAGCCTAGAAACTCAAAATATTGTTATCTGAATCACATTCATTTTCTAAGTTGATTTGACAAAAGAGACAAAAGTCGTGATAACAAATCATGAAAATATTTTTTTTTACAGTGTACTTTTACTGAATTAATTTCATGGGTGGATGTCTCAGTACTCACTAGAAGCACAGCAAAAGGGGTCATATGGTCACAGGAGCACTCCACAACATCATCTCTAGTACTATTGGTGTAACAACCATTCTCTTTCCAGGTTTTGCCTCCTATATGACAGTAAACAAAAATCAACATCAACATCAAATGACACATGTTGTAATATAAGAGCATAAGCACATTTTTTATTGAAGCAAGGGCTTGGCGGTATAATGATATATATTGTTACCAGGCTATAAAATGTCTATCGTTTTTGCTATATCATGTATATTGCGGTATGTAAATATACTGACTGGCACACTGCCAAAGTGCGCGCACAATTAAGCACAATAAGCAGTGAAAAAGAACTTAAAGGGATACTCCACTTTCTTTGGAAATAGGCTCATTTTACAACTCCCCCAGAGTTAAACTGTTGAGTTTTACCGTTTTTGAATCCATTCAGCCGATCTCCGGTTCTGACGGTACCACTTTTAGCATAGCTTAGCATACATCATTGAAGTGGACAAGACCATTAGCATTTCTCATTAAAAAATGACCAAAGTGTTTCGATATTTTTCCTATTTAAAACTTGACTCTTCTGTAGTTACATCGTGCACTAAGACCGACGGAAAATGTAAAGTTGCGATTTTCTAGGCTGATATGGCTAGGAACTATACTCTCATTCCTGCGTAATAATCAAGAAACTTTACTGCCGTACCATGAGTGCAGCAGGCGTAATGATATGACGCAGCGCCTGAAAATAGGCCACCTTCCGTCAACACAACGGAACTATTTTCAGGCGCTGCGTCATATCATTATGCCTGCTGCTCTCATGGTACGGCAGTGAAGTTTCTTGATTATTACGCAGGAATGAGAGAATAGTTCCTAGCCATATCAGCCTAGAAAATCGCAACTTTACATTTTCCGTCGGTCTTAGTGCACGATGTAACTACAGAAGAGTCAAGTTTTAAATAGGAAAAATATCGAAACACTTTGGTCATTTTTTAATGAGAAATGCTAAAGGTCTTGTCCACTTCAATTATGTATGCTAAGCTATGCTAAAAGTGGTACCGCCAGAACCGGAGATCGGCTGAATGGATTCAAAAACGGTAAAACTCAACAGTTTAACTCTGGGGGAGTTGTAAATTGAGCCTATTTCCAAAAAAAGTGGAGTATCCCTTTAAAGGGTTCATTCACCCCAAAATTACCCCATGATTTACCCACCCTCAAGCCGTCCTAGGTGTATATGACATTCTTCTTTCAGACGAATACAATCGGAGTTATATTAAAAAATGTCCTGGCTCTTCCAAGCTTTATAATGGCAGTGAATGGCCGTTTCTGTTTTGAAGTCCATAAAAGCGCATCCATCGATGATAAAACTGCTCCACACGGCTCTGGTGGGTTAATAAAGGCCTTCTGAAGCGATGCGTTAGTGTAAGAAAAAATATCCATATTTAAAACTTTATCGACTAAAATAACTAGCTTCCGGCAGATGGCCGTACAGTACGCATCGTTTACGGTGAAAGAGTAACACTTGACCTGGCGCTCAATGTAATGACGAACACGGGAGTGCAGAGGAAAGAGCAAAACAAAACACTAGTCACGAATTAGAAGTCTAAAAGGAGAATTTTTAAAGAGAAATGTGGGAGGAGCTTGAGTTTGTTGCCCAGCCCTGTTTGTTTGAACCCGCGAGAGGCGTCAAAGCTTACGACACTCCTACATCATAAGTCATACATCATCAAGTGCTACATTTTTTGGCATAAATCGATGCGTTCGGCCGTCTGCCGGAAGCGAGTTATTTTAGTCGATAAAGTTTTAAACATGGATAATTTTCTTACACTAACGCATCGCTTCACTTCAGAAGGCCTTTATTAACCCGCCAGAGCCGTGTGGAGCACTTTTATCATGGATGGATGCGCTTTAATGGACTTCAAAACAAAAACAACCATTCACTCTCATTATAAAGCTTGGAAGAGCCAGGACGTTTTATAATATAACTCCGATTGTATTCGTCTGAAAGAAGAATGTCATATACACCTAGGATGACTTGAAGGTGAGTAAATCATGGGGTAATTTTCATTTTTGGGTGAACTATCCCTTCAATGCAGCGCGGAATCTGGAATTCAGTTCTCTTTCACGTCTTACTGCGCTTGAATGGTCAAATACATGCACAATTATGTCAAAATGCCCATCATGTGGAGTATTCATGTAAACACAGACGGTTGTGTCTCAAGTGAAAGTAAACAAGATGCACTCTCAGAAAATAAAGTACATAATTGTACCTTTAGGGGTACAATGGCTTGTCACAGATTTTGTACCCTTGGCATAGGGTACATATTTGTACCCTTGTGCCAAAACTTTTATTTCCTTTATTTCAAGGTTATTTCAAGGCTACTCAAATATAGTGATAAGTTAAAAGCTACCTTAAATAATTAAGGTATCATTAAAACCTTTAAACAACAACTTTTACAAAAAATAAATAAAAAATGGCTTAGCAGAGTCTGTCTCGATATTGTACACAGCAAAAACTCCAGTGTTAAATATGGCTCCAGACTCAAGAGTGTTAAAATGGTAATATACGAGTGTTAAATTAACATTCAAGAGTGTTAAAGTTAATGAGCTCATTAAGTGATTCATTGAGTGATGATTGACCATTATTGAAGACACCTGAAGGAGAAAATCTATTTTTGTGTTTGCTTTAGTTGGGCCTTAAACTGTTAACATTAGATTTTGTTTGGCTGTTGTATCTGAGTTATAACTGCCAGATGAACAAAGAGAAAAGTTGATCAGGTGGTGTTGATTATGTTTTGACATAATCATAATTTGTCCTGAATCAGCTGAACTCATTAAGAGTCTAACCTCTTAAATGTATATTGTTGATTCCAGCATCACTGTGATTCTACAGCATAAGATCCAGAATTTTCTAAATAATCTAAAATATTTCTAAAAAGTTGTTCTGAAAAAACAAAATCTTTCTTTTAGGCACACACAGACATCAATAATCAGTGTATGAATCTCAACAATGGTGACAAACAGAATATGCCATTAGGGAAAGGAAATTACTAAGACAATTCAGATAAAACCACAATACATGATGGGAGCCATGAATGAGTTTTGATTGGTGGCACCCAGAATGCACTGCAACATGCTTTATTATTGTCACCATTGTTGAGATTCACAGGCTGATTATTGATGTCAGTGTGTCTAAATAAAAAACAATTTCAAAGTATTCTGATTAGAACAACTTTTATGAAATATTTTGGATTATATTGAAAACGTTGAAAACCATTTACTGTAGAATCACAGTCTGCTGTAATCAACAAGGTAGACATAACTCTCTAAATGAGATTTGTGATTCAGATCAAATTATGATTATGTCAAAACATAACCAACACCATCTGATCAACTTTTCTCTTTGTTCATCTGGCAGTTATAACTCAGATACAACAGCCAAACAAAATCTAATGTTAACAGTTTAAGAGTCAATAGCCCAACTAAAGCAAACACTGATCACCATAATGGTGTCTTAAAAATAGATTTTCTCCTTCAGTGATTCTGCTTGTTAACATCAGGTGTCTTCAATAATGGTCAAATATCACTCAATGAATCACTTAATTAGCTCATTAACTTTAACACACTTGAACACAGGAGAGTTAATTTAACACTGGAGTTTTTGCTTTGTACCTTAACCTTTAAAAGAAAGGGTACATATATGTACCTTTAATGCTTGGGAACATATATGTACCTTTTTGACCCTCAAAAAGGTACATATATGTACCTTGAGGTCCAATAATAAGCCCTATGGGGTACATTATTGTAGATTGTACCTTGGGGGACAAAAATGGACTCCTACTGTACCCCTTTTTCTGACAGTGTGTGATGAAACCAGATGTGTATCAGTATAATGGATCCATGCTTTTGGTCTTAAAGTGACAGCAGCCTAATATACTGTACCCACCACTCTTTTTGTTGTATTGTATTTGTCCTATTGTTTGCAATTTGCTTCTTCTTTTTAATAACAGAAATGAGATAAAAGAACACAAACTATATTGTGATATATATATCGTTATCGTGAATTAAAATTTCTCATTTCGTGAAATAAGAATTTGGTCACATCGCCCATGCACCCAAAGAAGCAATTAACCATTACTGTACCTTTTTCATCATAGAACTGACAGGACAGGTGTTTCTTTAAATATAAATATAAAACAGGAACAAATCATTATTAGGACATTTTGAGGCAATTTGAGAATATAAAAAATTTCAAGTTACACTTACAGATTTGTCTATGGTTTTAATTCTGAACTGAATTTTAAGTCGATCAGTCAATTTGTTAGTGTCAGGTCCAGGGAATTCAATCCGTATGATTTTCGAGATAACATCTTTATTTCCCAGGTTAAGCTGTAAAAAAAGACAATAGTTTGATTTATAAATTTAAGCTTACTGTAAACTTGAGAATCTGTGTGACATGCAACAGTGTTCTTATCGCATGACAAACATTAAAAGGGGGTTTGATTTGAACCTTAAAGTGCTCATCTGCATTGTAGGTAACTACACCAATTTTGTTTTCCGATTGGTTTTGGAAAGGCTTCAACGGGATCCACATCTCAGCCACTTCATCATTATCTAATACCTTAAAAGGAAAAAACACATCAGCTCTCTTTAATAATAATAATAATAATAATCTAAATTAAAGAACTACATTCTTAAGTAAATAGGCTAAACATTTTCTACATTGTTTGTTTAGAAGTGTAAAAGCTGCTAATTCTTTCATGTATAGCGAAATGACAGAAGATGTCTTTTAGGGTTTCACACTAGGATCATGCAAGACTTGTCGGATATTCAATCTGCAATAATGAATCTAAAAATAAAATTACTACTCAGATTTCACTAAATGTTGCTTTGCTGGCCATAAATGCAGTGGATTCATGATAAATCCTTTGCAAACAAACTACACAGTTATAACTAAAAGCATTGGGTGGTGCTGTGCTGAGCATGGAATAAAGGTCATTGTATTTGATAACACAAGAGTGGTGCAGGTATGACATCAGTTTTTTTTTAGATCTTCCAATTCCATCGTCCTGAAGTCAATGTTTTTTTAAAAATTTTTTTTTTTTTTTGTTAAATGGCTGAAATGGTCTGTGGTGAACACAAGACACTTTCACATTTTATCCTACGACATAAAATACATCTGTGAGGCCCAGGGGCGTAGCAGCCATTATAAAAGTGGGGGGGACAAAAGCTGTATGGTGATGTGACCCAAAGGTCAGTCCTTCCAGAAAAATGAGGAGTTTTTTTGTGATTGTTGCGGGCAAAAATCCTTGATTATGCGTCACGTTTGCTTTAAAAATGCGATGGAATATGCGGGATATTTATGCAATTTTATGTGATGAAATTGCGGGAACTTGCAAAAACTGCGGTTTGATGAAAAAGAGAAAAACTGTTCTCACTAGGCTACTACCTTACTGTAAAGAGTCATTTCTTATTACTTCCTATGATAAGCAAGCATATACATCACAGTACGTGCTGGAATATTTTATCTTGTTTTATTTCAGACCTTAATAAACACATCAAACTTACAAAACACTGATAAGTCAAACAAGTTCTGTAGCTTTAAAAAAGGAATATGGTACAACTTCTGTAAAAATGAATAAATAAAATATATTAAAAAAAATGTTTCCTGTTATACAGCTTTTCGATGATGTTCACGTCGCGTAATTACGTCACTTCATAACGTTCCCATGGCAACAGGGGGAAACGGCTGCTCTCGTGTGAAGCAAACGCAACATTTTTCAACTTTCTGCTAAGATATTTTTTGCAACGAAAATGCGAGGATTATGAAATCATGCAAGCCCCGCAAATTTTGCACGGAAATCGGCAATTTATGTGGCGAAAGTGCGGCGTATTTGAAAAAATGCCCCCGCATAAATATGCGGACTTTGGCTGATTATGCACTAAATCATGCGATCGCATAATCGCGTTTTTCTGGAGGGACTGAAAGGTGATGTTCATAATAATACATTTTAGATTTTACAGCACCCTAGTGGCAATTTTGGGAACATGCCATGATTTCACAATTGTGAAATCATACTCAAAATAAAAAAATACTGCAGGACTTGAGACTTTCTGACCAGTGTGGACATCTATACTTTATTTTTATAAAATAAAGATATTTTATGATATTTACAATATTTCAGTTAAACTACACTTGAACAATAACTTTTATCTTAACTTACTTCTTAACAGTTGGACCAAAAAAAAGTGTTCAATGAGTTTACAGTATACAGATTACATCTAGCCTACAGTAATTTTATACAACAGACATTTTATAAAAATATATCAATAAAACCTAAATCAATGTATTCGGTATTGGACATCAATTTAACATTGACATGTTGAATTTTCATTGAATTTTGGTCACCCGACGTCGCAACCGAAATTTAACCAAATATCAATGTCTTATGACGTTGTGTGCCTGCTGGGAATAATCTGTTAGGTCTCATTTAACAGACGCTTTTATCCAAAGCAACAAGTAGGAGAGCATTTAACACACACTCGGCACAATCCGGCGCGACGTGACGAGGTCCATACGGGTTCTGTTGTCTTACACGTCTTTCTGCGTTACAGTAGGTTAAATCATAACAAGTGTGATTCATGTCATCGCGACATACTGTAACACATTATACTTACAGTGTGTGTTTGAAAAAAATGATGTAATCGTCCTCTGCTTTTTTTCTGGGGTGCAGACGGCCAAACAGCAAAGCGACTAAACGAACACGAAAATTCGCAAGAGCTACAAGAGATTTGAAGCTCATGGCAGATGCGCCCAATAGATGCTTCGCGCTGTGATTGGCTGAATGTTAGTTCACTCAAGTCTAAGTAACAAATCAGAGAGAACATGGGCAGAAATTGTGTCGCTGGATCAAAAAAAATGCGCTGGGACAGAATCACCTGTTTCTAAAAGTGCGGGGGACGTGTCCCGGTTGCTACGCCCCTGGTGAGGCCTATTAAGTTACCCGACTTGTGATTTTTTTAAGCTGTTACGTGTCTAAAAAAAGACGGTTGCTAATAAGTGGCTAAATGTGACTACAGACGCTGTCGAGGAGATTAGGGCCGTTACATAGTCAACGCGAGAAACGCGAGCGATGCGAGCTAAACGCTCCTTTTCATAGTACACAAGCAGACGCAAGCGTCACCGGCGATGCGTGAAATGCAATACACCGATCGCGCAACAGGGGGTAGTAGAGTCTAGAGTCGGGTCACGTGATATTCAGATCAAAATGGCAACTGAAGAGGAGTGCATATTGCTGATTTTACATCGGCGGCAATAAAACAAGCTCACATAACTTTTCCTCTTCGCCCCCCATTGTATTCAAATCTTCTTCTTCTGTAAACATAATAATATATCTTTTTATGTACATTACTTGCAATGTCGCCCCCACCGACAACGCATAGTATTGCGTGCATCGGCGCGTCGCGTATCAAAAACTAGGATGACACATTTGGCTACGCATCGACGCATTAATGGCGGCCGAAGCGTAGCGATGTGTAGCCTTGCGCACGCGTATGCGCACAGATGCGTTGACTATGTAAGAGCCCTAAATGTCATCACGCCGAAAAGGTAAGATCAGTTACAGCATTATTATGCTTATAATCGTGCTTTAAACTATTCGAACTCAAACGTTCTGGGGTTTTTTTTTTTAGATAAAAACTGAAAGAGTTGTCGGAAGCTTAGTGATGGTGACGCTGAAGTCATGTGACCAAGGCCGTTGTGTTGTTGGTTTATAGCCTACCTTTAGCTTTATACTTCTGGCGACTGCATTTAGGCTTCAAAATTCATCAAAGTTGTATTCGTGATAATAATTATCTTGATAGACAAAACGTGTAGGTATTATAAACTTTTGTTAATCACAGAGCTTGTTTTTAGCGATAATCCAAAAAGCCTATGGGAAAATCCTATTGGGTTTTGCTGAGAGAACCAGTGAGATGCTAACTGTCATTGCAGCTATTATTTTTGATCATGCAAGACCGACTTGCTGAGTACATTCATATTTTTCTGGGATTTTTATATGCATTTAAAAAAAATCCTCATGGACAAAAATGAAGAGGTGCTGCAAAAATCACTTACAGCAGTTTAGCAGCTTTATATAATTATATCAGCAAGGACCTTTGGCGTTTATGGGGCAGGTATACTTACACGTGGAGCATGGATTTGTGCATACTCTTCTGTCATGCTCAAATTCATCTTAACCACAGTCATGGAAAGATCCTCATGATAATACGTCTTGGATTGCTCAGGAACAGTCATATTTATAACACCATGTATGGCTTTCTTCTCCACTCTGCACAAAGGTGTGATAAACATAAAACCAGGTCCAAAGCAGTGTTTCCAACCCCACAACAACACACATTTAGGATTTCCGATAAAGACTCAATTTTGAAGTGTCAGATAAAGGTGTACTCAAGGTGAAGTGCTTTTTTTGTTTCTTCGCTTAGGGTTAAAAAGAAGTTCGAAAATACCTTTTCAGCGTTTTCATGCGTTTTCCTCTCAATAACAAAATAAACACACCAAAAATGAGGGCGGTGAGAAAACAGCAGTTAAGAAAGCATCTGATCATAGCGATGTGGATGTTTGAACCAGCTCTGTGATACCAGCATGTACTTACTACAGAGTTTGGGTTAAAATTAGGGTTTGGTTTAGGGTTAGTTTAGTTGCATGAAATTATGCATAATTTATAGTTATTACTACAGTAAGTACATCTAACATGTAACAGACACTATAAAATAAACTTTTTTTGTAAAACTCTGTAGTGCCACTTTTATTAAATATAATGCATTATTATTATTATTAATATTAAGGGAGAAATGTGGGATGAAAAGAATAAACGGCACTTTATACAGAAGATTCTTTTGAAGCAGCAGCTTTTCAGCTTTTACAGCGTTTCAGTTCTACTATAAAGCCCTTCGTGTGTTCATGTTTTTACTTACGGACGTCTGACCTCGACAGACTGAACAGAAGAGAAATGAACCGAAGAAGATTTCCATGGAAAAAGGCGGAGTCTCGTAGCCACACCCACCTATGACATAATCGACACGGACTAATGGTAGTGCGGAGGTGTTTACCAGTCGGAGCGAACTTTTCTAAAAAGTTTGTTCGAAACTAACTCCAAGTGAAATCGAAGAACTAGTGTGATGTAATTTCAAACTAAATCAGGCCGAAGTTCATTTGAAGTATATCGCATCCCAAATCTGTACTGCTGTGGGGCCTCCAGGAACAGGGGTTGGAAACATAACAAACTTAAAGGGTTAGTTCACCCAAAAATTAAAATTCTGTCAGTAATTACTCACCCTCATGTTGTTCCAACCCCGTAAGACCTTCGTTCATCTTCGGAACACGAATTAAGATATTTTTGATGAAATCTGAGAGCTGGATCACTCCTCCATACTAGTCCATAGGCTTCTTCAGGGATTGAACTTGCCGGCCTCGAAAAGTTATTATAGACATCGTTAAAATAGTCCAAGTGACTACAGTGGCTCAATCTTAAATTTATCAAGCGACGAGAATACTTTTTGTGCGCAAAACCCCCCAAAAATAACGACTTTATTTCAACTATTAATTTCCTTCTCTTTGGGCCTTGAGTCAGTTCACTAGTGTAAAAGCGTAAGCTTCTGTTGTTGTACGTCACACGCATCACGCACATGACCAGCGTCGGCCAATAGTGAGCCTACGTGTGACGTAGCTCTACGGAATCACACTACGTTAACTGACTAGAGGCCCAAAGAGAAGGAAATGAATAGTTGAAATAAAGTCGTTATTTTTGTTTGTTTTTGCGCACAAAAAGTATTCTCGTCGGTTGATAAACTTAAGATTGAGCCACTGTAGTCACTCGGACTATTTTAACGATGTCTTTAATAACTTTTTGAGGCCGGCAAGTTCAATCCCTGAAGAAGCCTATGGACTAGTATGGAGGAGTGATCCAGCTCTCAGATTTCATCAAAAATATCTTAATTCGTGTTCCGAAGATGAACGTAGGTCTTACGGGGTTGGAACAACATGAGGGTGAGTAATTACTGACAGAACTTTCATTTTTGGGTGAACTATCCCTTTCAAGGACAACTCCGGCGTAAAATGAACCTTTGGTCTAATAACACATTGGTACCTAGTCAACCGTTCTCTGAGATTTATTTTCATGATAATCGAATGTAAAGAGTTTTATCTCTAAAAACTGTTTAGCGTATAACGCTAGTATATAGGGCATAGAGTAATGATGAAAAATAAAGATCGCTAGTTAATACCACTAACAAGGCTCAAAATAGCCCCACACTGACACGGTAACATAATGAGGGTCCCTACATGCAAACCGAAGCATTGAGAACGTTGTAAGTGTACAGACCGTTTAATAAGAAGATAAAGACAGTCCACTTCGCATATACAGACAGGAGCCATCTTTGGAAAACAGTCTCGACAAGTCGAACCACGAACGCCGTTCATACAGTTTAGAAGTTCGCTGAACTTCATACAGTTCAGCTCACTTGTCACGGCGTTCGTGGTTCGACTGGTCGAGACTGTTTTCCAAAGATGGCTCCTGTCTGTATATGCGAAGTGGACTGTCTTTATCTTCTTATTAAACGGTCTGTACACTTACAACGTTCTCAATGCTTCGGTTTGCATGTAGGGACCCTCATTATGCTACCGTGTTAGTGTGGGGCTATTTTGAGCCTTGTTAGTGGTATAACTAGCGATCTTTATTTTTCATTGCTCTATGCCCTATATACCTGCGTTATAAGCTAAACAGTTTTTAGAGATAAAACTCTTTACATTCGCTTACCATGAAAACAAATCTCAGAGAACGGTTGACTAGGTACCAATGTGTTATTAGACCAAAGGTTCATTTTGCGCCGGAGTTGTCCTTTAAGGATTGTACTAAAGGATATTAAAATCTTAATAAGGTTTTATTTACCCAATGTAGGTATTCACCATAGTTTCATTAAAGATCACATCTTGGCACATTTTTTTCATACTGAGAAGGTTTCTCAGGTCTTTTGGGATTTTCATTTGTTGATCTTTCTCGTTCAAGAGCTTTCTTATTTCGACAGGCAAGCAATCCACCACAGTACACAGTGAAATCGTTTTTTCTTTACACAGTGATGCATTGTTTTCTGGAATAGATGGAAGGAATAATTAATGTCCTGAGTAAACAGTTACATCATGTTATCAATGCACATAGTATACTATCATAATGCTGTTGTGTTACTGAGCAATGGAAGAAAAGAAGTCTATACTTACTTATGCTGAATTCAACTCTAGTGTTATTCTTATTTTTCTTTGCACATATGTCAAATTTTTTCGGTGCGGTAAAGTTTTGGTCTTCAAAGAAATCGTTAAAGGAGCACTCAATATAACATGAATTGGTTGTTGAGTTACAAAGTATTTTTTTTGCAGTGTCATGAACAGTAATGTTGTGTCCAGATTCCAATGAGATTGTCATCTCCAATGTCCGTGTGTTATTTGCCAGTGTTATATTCCCTAAAGAGATAATTCAAATTACACAGTGAAATGTAAGTCTCTAAAAGACTTATCAGTTATAATTTCTATTGTAGGGAAGACTGGGTCATCTCAGTGACTATAAAATGTAGTGCTTTCTCAGTGGTTTTGTATGTTGATTCCAAATACCTTGTTCAACTTAGTGATTTTATAAATTCTATTCTCGATTCTAAAATTACAGTAAATTACTATAATTAAAAAGTTTGGGGTTAGTATGAGTTTATAATGTTTTTGAAAGAAGTCTCTTATGCTCACCAAGGCTGTGTTTATTGGAGCATAAATATAGTACAGTAATATTGTGAAATATTATTATAATTTAAAATAACGGTTTAAAAAAAATTCTAGGTAAATATATTTTAAAATGTAATTTATTCATGTGATGCAAAGCTGAAATTTCAGCAAATCATTATAATATAAACAAGCAAACAATAAGATCATACTGACATACATTTTAAGAAGTGTCAACTGCATAATAAAGGTAGATTTGAACTCAACCCTTTGTGTTAAGTTACGTTGTCAGGACAAGAGTATCGCTCACACATGTCAGGATAGGTCGAATCGTCACATGTTTTATAGGTTGTCATTTTTATAAAATATTTATATTTCCAATGGCCTATAAATTACATTTTTGGGTGAGATTTTTCCTCTTATATTTCATTTGTATTAATGTTTGCATTTTGTTAAAAACCCTACAATAAACTGTTAATGGCAAGGTCTGTACAGAAATTGAAAATAAAGCCACGCAAAATAATTTATTAAAAACGTTTTTTGCATGCAGATTTGTAAGTAAATTACCATTTGGAATTCATTAAAATCTACTATATCTTTTTATATATATAAAAAAAAAAAAATATTTGATGGCAATGATATTTACGCTTTACAAGCTTAAATTTAGTACTTACTAATATAGAATATACTTTGTTTTTTAAATTCTGCCTGAACTAACTATATTCAGGTAGAAATTACATTAGTTTTTTTTTACTTCACCACAGAATATTTGTTATCAATGAAGTCAAAATTCTGAGGGAAAGCTTCAGTCTAAATGTTTACTTTATGAGTATGTTTATGGGAATCTTATGCAAATATTTTCAGTATATTTCTAATTTGATTATTGGAATCTAAAAACCATCCAAAATGAAAATTTTAAAAACAAGAAATTTAAACAAAGAAAGTATTTCTCATCTCAGGAAGAGTGATTCCACCATGTATAACCTCTTTGTGCTTTAGCAATCAGTTGTAAATAAACTGGCAATAGAAATCAATTTAATATATTTCAAATTAATTAAGTGTTTTCAATAGTTACCACTTTCATAATAAAATTCGTCAGCATCCAGGCCATAGATCATGATCAGAAGTAAAAGGAGTGTCATATCTTCAGCTCTGTGGGACATATTTTTTGGGAGGTCAGAATACAGACATGGAAATGACAATATATATCATAACATCATACATTAGTAGCTTAATAACATTAATCTTTTCACATCTATTTACACCCCTTAAAATGACTTAATTATAAAAATGCTCTCCAATATGAGCCTAAAAGCGTTTGATTTACATACCTTGGAGTTTTCTTAGCTGGTTGAAGTGGTGACAGCTCTGTATAGTCAGATAATTATTCACAGACTGAGTTGATCATCAGCCACACTCAAATTTTGTGGCTTCAGCTACATCCAATGAGCTCTCCAGAAAGCAGAGGACAATGACAAGGCTTGTCATAACTTTTTATTTATGACAATCATCAACACGATATGATGTTTGTTATTAGACAGTATAACAGACTGTATATGAGCTTATCATTAGTGACAACAGCCTCTGTTAACGTCATCATGAAAGAAAATTGCGAACAATGCAGCATTCATTATATATGGTTTTTCCATGCTCATCATTACTTTATTTTTTAAGTTCATATTACTCATAATGTTAATGTTTAATCAAAATAACTTATCCTCTCGGAGAGACATCTCTTCTCTGATGATGTGTTTACTAGTGTGGGGGCGGGGCAACCTGTCACTCACATGAGATCAACCAATAGCAAACCACATCCATCCAACCATCCAAATCGATTCCCAAAGACAAAATCAAGTCATTTCTTCATTTCCAGAACTTCATTTCTTTTTCTTGTTTGAGAAGCCATTTCACTCAGTTATACAGTGCCTTGCCAGAACAGGTCTCTGTTTGGATTAAAATAGGCCAAAACTTAAAGAGTCTATGATTGGATCATTATCGCAGTGATTATTATGTTTCTAGCATGTTATATGTTTGGCAACCGTTCTTCTGACCCTAATTGACGGAGTGTGTAGCTTTTCATATCTTAAACATCCATGAAGACACATCATGGCCATATTCCAGGATGACAATGTCAAGATTCATCAGGCTCAAACTGTGAAAGAATGATTATGAGGAAGAATGAAGAATCATTTTCACACATGAATTGTCTCCTTTGAGTCCAGAGCTTAAACTCATTAAAAGTCTTTGGGATTTGCTGGAGGAGACTTTACAGAGTGATGGTGTTACGGGTGTGCACGGAGATGAACCCAAACGCAGACGGTGTATAATGAACTCAGGGTTTATTGGGACAAAACAGGAAAACAAAACCCACGAGGGGGCAAAACAGACGAAACAAGGGATATAAGACTGGCAAGACTAGACTAGATAATGACTGAACAAGAAAAACAACACTTTGTATAATACTAACAATGACTACTAACTACGACTTTCCATGACAAGACTTTCCACAGAATACTCACAGGTAACATTTGGCAATGAACCGACACAAGACAGCAAACACAAGGGGATTAAATAAGGAGACTAATCAAGACATAACAGGTGACACGGATAAAGCAATAATGACTGAATCAGGATAACAAGGGGGCGGGTTTAAGAGACGAGACAACACAAGCACATGACCAAAACACAAGGCCATGTGCTTGCACACAGAACATGGGTCTGTCATGATCCTGCCGCAATACTAAGAGAATCACGGACATGATGGCAGAATCATGACAGAACCCCCTCCTTAAGGAGCGGCTACCAGACGCTCCCCAAGGAGACATCAAACACGGGACAAGACTGACTGAGACATAGACAAGACCCAACAAAACATGACAAATAATAACAAGGGCATACAAGAGTAAACAATGACAGGGTTGGGGTGGAACATCAAAAATAATAAACAAGGAAGGGGAGGCGGAGGGACAACAAAGTCTTTGAGCGAGGGTCCAGGGTGGGTAGGCGGGACGGTGATCTTGGGACTACGGGGTGTGGGCTTAGGACGGGGGGTCCGAACGGACTTGGGTGGAGTGGTGTGGGTAGAGGGAGAAACAGTCCTGGGTTGAGCCATGACTAGGGCTGCAACTAACGATTATTTTGATAATCGATTAATCGGACGATTATTTTTTCGATTAATCGGATAAAAAGATTCAATTAGATTTTTTGTTTATTGTGACTAAATAAAACCCGGTTACACTTTATTTTAAGGTGTCCTTGTTACAGTGTAACTATATATTCAAGTACAGAGTAATAAGTAACTACATGTACTTACTATAGGAATAGGGTAGGATTAGGTTGAGGGTTAGTTGCATGTAATTATGCATAATTTACTGTTATTACTACAGTAAGTACATGTAACATATGTAACAAGGACACATAAAATAAAATAAAGTGTTACCTAAAACCCTAAATTAGGATATTTATGTGGAAAAGTGTACTTTAAAAAGTGCAAAAGCCACACATTGTGTTTTACAAATATCAATATTTGCATTGTTTTTAATGATAATTGCTGATGGCAAGTTGACAACCATGATTAATGTAAAAAAAAAAACACATTTATATCCAACATATTGTTTTAACACAATTTTTGTTAAAACAAATTTACAGACATGTTGTTCAGATGTGAAGATATAAACTAAAAACATCTAAAAATATATAATTCATTTAATTTTTATTTAAAATTAATTGAATTATAAGGATAATTTGTAAAAATAAATATAGAAAGACTGAAAACAAGCGTGTGAACAGAGCCGCAGTAGATCGCGTTTGAAAAACAATTAAAACTTAATAGTAGACAAATGCTATATAAAGAGAACGTAATGGAGGTACGCTGCAAGCTAACAGGCTTGATTAAAAAGATAGGAAAAATGATGCATTAGTGCACAAACATTCGCTGAAACCCACTGAGTACAGTGACTAAAAAACAATATTTTACTGCTGCTGTTATTAAGTGCCTTTATATTTAGTGCTTCGCTTTGTAAAGACCGTTTTAATTTAATATTTCTGCGATAGCACTATTTTAATCCATCACTTATGTTGCGAGCGAACTGACTGCGCAACCTGATGCTCGAGACGCAAAATACAGAGATCCCAAGTCTCCCGGAAGTTCTGGGAGTCACCCGCATATTGATAGCGGCTCCCTGATGCTCGCAAATTAGTTCAAACTCCCGGGATTTGAGCGCTTAAGCAAGAGCGCGGATGCGAGACAGAAGAGACTGTGCTCCAAACCGTGTAGCGCGAGCGAGCGGCAGAGCAACGGAGGGAGAGAGACCTTGCGTGTGTGTGTGCGTGTGTGCCTCATGAAGCGCGTGTAAGACAGAGAGCATCCTGATTGGCCTGTTTCAACCAATCACCAGTAAACGCTCCCCGTGACGTAAGTAGACCAACTAATCGATAATGACATTCGTTGACAACGATTTTCATAATCGATTATTATTGATTTTATCGATTAGTTGTTGCAGCCCTAGCCATGACGGGGGAAACAAACGGGAGTCCGGGGGCAGTGGAGACAGCAGCAGCGGGAGACGAAACGGAGACACGGGAACTGACAGGGGAAGAGGAAGCAGGAACGGGAACTGAGTTACTTGAAGAGTCAAGGCTTTCCCAAGAAGAGGTGAGACTCATCACCTCCGACTCTGGAGAGGCATTGACTGTTGCGCTCTCGGCGGCTGGCGTGGGTGCTGCGCTCTCGGTGACAGGCGTGGGTGCAGCGCTCTCGGCGACAGGCGTGGGTGCAGCGCTCTCGGCGGCAGGTATGAGGACAGCGCTCTCGGCGACAGGCGTGGGTGCAGCGCTCTCGGCGGCAGGTATGAGGACAGTGCTCTCGGCGACAGGCGTGGGTGCAGCGCTCTCGGCGGCAGGTATGAGGACAGTGCTCTCGGCGACCGGCGTGGGTGCAGCGCTCTCGGCGGCAGGTATGAGGACAGCGCTTTCGGCGACAGGCGTGGGTGCAGCGCTCTCGGCGACAGGCGTGGGTGCAGCGCTCTCGGCGACAGGCGTGGGTGCAGCGCTCTCGGCGACAGGCGTGGGTGCAGCGCTCTCGGCGACAGGCGTGGGTGCAGCGCTCTCGGCGACAGGCGTGGGTGCAGCGCTCTCGGCGACAGGCGTGGGTGCAGCGCTCTCGGCGACAGGCGTGGGTGCAGCGCTCTCGGCGACAGGCGTGGGTGCAGCGCTCTCGGCGACAGGCGTGGGTGCAGCGCTCTCGGCGACAGGCGTGGGTGCAGCGCTCTCGGCGACAGGCGTGGGTGCAGCGCTCTCGGCGACAGGCGTGGGTGCAGCGCTCTCGGCGGCAGGTATGAGGACAGCGCTCTCGGCGACAGGCGTGGGTGCAGCGCTCTCGGCGACAGGCGTGGGTGCAGCGCTCTCGGCGACAGGCGTGGGTGCAGCGCTCTCGGCGACAGGCGTGGGTGCAGCGCTCTCGGCGACAGGCGTGGGTGCAGCGCTCTCGGCGACAGGCGTGGGTGCAGCGCTCTCGGCGACAGGCGTGGGTGCAGCGCTCTCGGCGACAGGCGTGGGTGCAGCGCTCTCGGCGACAGGCGTGGGTGCAGCGCTCTCGGCGACAGGCGTGGGTGCAGCGCTCTCGGCGACAGGCGTGGGTGCAGCGCTCTCGGCGGCAGGTATGAGGACAGCGCTTTCGGCGGCGGGTTCGGGTGCCGCGCTCTCGGCGGCGGATACTGGGACTAAGGGCGAGACAGGATGGACAGGGACATCAAGGATCTTGATGAGACTAGACAAGTATTCTGACACGGTTTTTGCAGCAATCATGACAGGCATCTCTTGCTTCGCTGAAACTGAGCGTACCACAGCTTCAGCAGCTGAATCGGCCGCTTCCCTCTCTGCAGCACTCACGGCTGTAGGCTTAGGAGTAGTCCTTACTGCTGCGGACTCTGGAGCCGCGCCCGCAGCGACCGATTTCGGAACGGTACCTTCGGCTGTAGCGGGCTCTGGGACAGTGCCAGCAGTAACGGGCTCTGGGAAAGTGCTTACAGTAGTGGGCTCTGGGGCAGCGCTTACAGAAGCGGGCTCTGGGACAGCGCTTGCAGACACAGGGGACGAAAACAGACCAGAGACCAGTGGTGGAGGAAGTACTGAATCTCAGTACTTAAGTAAAAGTACAAAACAGACATAATACTTTAGTGAAAGTAGAAGTACCACAATGACAACCCTACTTAAGTAAAAAGTAAAAAGTACCTGATTTTAAATGTACTTTAAGTATTAAAAGTAAAAGTACTTGCATAACAATTTATTCTCTTAATGTCTATATTCTAATGATTAATAAAACAGTTAATCCTAACTCATTCAACCTAATAATACTATTATGATGTTCAATAATGATGGAAAAGCCGTTATTTTTTAAGTTTTTGTCACCATTTCAGA